TGCGTCTTCTGGCTCCGCCTTCCGCCGATGTCCGATCCACCGCTGGTGTTGCGCCTCCTTGCTGCCACTCATCCCCATTGCACTCGTCGCCACCGCCGCTCATCATTCTGCCCTCGCTGCCCGCCGCCGCGTTCCTTATCTCCGTCTCCAGGAAGCTACTGTTGCTGTCTTAGTGGGTCTGAAATAGCGCAATAGAAAAGAGCAAGAGTCCAGTAGCACCTTAAAGACTAACAAAATTTGTGGCAGGGGAGGAGTTTTTGTGAGTCACTGCTCACTTCTTCAGATACAGTGAGAATGGGAGTCCATCTGTCCTATTTATTGGAAAGTGGAGTGATTTCAGATGCCGAATAACATTAGCAGGCAATGATATGCAGAGAGGTAGTAGGCATGGATTAATGGACACAAGTCTGACATCAGAAACCACAACATTAAAAAAAAACTGGGGGAACATTTTAATCTTCCAGGACATTCGGTTGCTGACCTAAAAGTAGCAGTTCTCTTACAAAGGAATTTCAAAGGGAGAGACTGCTGAATTGCAATTGATAATGACGCTCAAGACAATGCATCCTCCTGGACTGAACGGAGAGTTAGGTTTCCTGTCTCATTACCAGTGCTGATTTCTCCATGCCTACTACCTCTCTGCATATCACACCTAATCCAATCACACCTGCTCTTGTCATTTGCCTGCTAATGTCATTCGGCATCTGAAATCACTCAACTTTCCAATGAGTAGGACAGATGGCCTGACATTCTAGCTGTATCTGAAGAACTGAGCAGTGTCTCATGAATTGTGACCCTGCCACAAATTCTGTTAGTCTTTAAGGCGCTCCTGGACTCTTGCTCTTTTCTGCTGCTACAGACAAACACAGCTACCCACCTTCATCTGAAACAAGGCAAGTCTCCCAAAGGAAGCTGTACTGGTTCTTGGGACAGATGGGAAGCCAGAGAAACCAGGGCTATTTTGGGGCAGGAACGCACAGGAACGGAGTTCCGGCTGGCTTCAGAGTTGGCCACGCCCACTACAGCCAAAACCTCTGCATGTGTGGCTACAGAGGGAAGGCCTGGAGGGCGACCCCCCCCTGGCGACTCTGAGGCTGGCGGGCTGGGGGGCCCCTGGAAGGATCGGGAAGGGATTTAAATGCCTCCCCATGCATTCCGCGGCCTGTCCAAAGGCCGGCTTTCCTGGGCTCCCCAGCCAAGGGAAGGCATGGGGTGTGGCCTAATATGCTAATGAGCTGCACCGTCGGGGGTGTGGCCTAATATGTCAATGAGTGTCTGCTGTTGGGTGTGACCTATTATGCTAATGAGTTCCTGCTGGGCTTTTTCTGCAAAAAAAAAAGCCCTGAGAGAAACTAAGAGAAAACTGAAGATGTGAGCAGAGTAAGGGGTTAGGTTGCCAACTCTGGGTTGGGAAGTTCCTGAGCACAGAGCCTGGGAGGGACCTCCGTGGGGTACAATGCCATAGAGTTCACCCTCTAAGCAGCCATTTTCTCCAGGGGAGCTGATCTCTGTAGTGAGATCAGTTAAAATTCTTAGAGGTCTCCAGGCCCCACCTGGAGGTTGTCAATCCTCATAAGGAGTGGGATCGGGTCTGCTCTTCCAAAAGATGCTTACTAAAATGGAGGGCAGATACCTTCTTAGGGCTGATTCTTTTCTTTGTCGAATATCTTGCAAGCAGCAGTCCAGTGGCTCCTAGCACATCTTAGCCAAGGCAACTATTTTACATAGATAAGACAACGGCATCGGAGGATGTGGCATTAATCGCCTCCCTGAGATTTGAGTTGATAACGGCCTGTTCTAGCTTTGTGACCTGACCCCTTCCCCAGATTCCCACATCGAGACCATTATCTGTTCAGATCAAGCGGCTTCCGCTTTACCAAACAACAAAACATTATTTTGTATGCAGACGCCATGATGTGATCTTTCTAAATGCCAATGCCATCGTTTCGGCTGCGTTCTGGAGTCTCTTGAATAATTCTCACTCATTTGGAACCCGGCTGGTTTCCCAACTTCTCACGACTTCCACTCTAAGCATAGTCAAAATAACAACGTTTGAGTCCAGCCGCGGCACCTTTAAGATCGACAGAGTTTAATTCCAGGGGTGAGCTTCCGTGTGTAGGCACACTTCTTCGGATACTGTTAAATAGTGGGTTCCATGGAGGAGGAGACTCCAAGTCTAGTGATCAGCTCTACTTTATTCAGTGATTTCAGCAAGACCAGGACTGTAGACCGGAGCCTCAGTTCGGTTATATTGCCTGCAGTGGCCACACCCCAACACACCCCACTCCCAGGGCTTTTTTTGTAGAAAAAGCTTTTTAGGAACTCATCAGCATAATAGGCCACACCCAACAGCAGGAACTCATTAGCATATTAGGTCACACCCCTGACAGCACAGCTCATTAGCATATTGGGCCACACCCCATGCCTTCCCTTGGCTTGCCCGGGCAAGCTGGCCCTTGGACAGGCTGGGGAAGGCACGGGGAGGCATTTAAATGCCTCCCCAATCCTTCCAGGCCCCTTCCTGGCCCGCCCACCTTGGAGTTGCCGGGGGGGGGGTCACTCTCCAGGCCTTCCCTCTGTAGTCACGCACACAGAGGTTTTGGCTGTAGTGGGCGTGGCCAACTCTGAAGCCGGCCGGAACTCCGTTCCTGTGCGTTCCTGCCCCAAAATAGCATGGGCTCCGAGTATTAAGCGACCTGACGAAGCATTGAGGGAAACAGATTGTTTACCTGGAAATCTGTAGTCGCACGACAATTGTTGGAAGCAGCAGCAGCAGCAGCACTGCATGATGTAAAATAAACAAAAAGAAGCAGCAGCAAATTCATGGACTGTAATTGGACTTGAATCCATTTTTCACAGTGAGCACTGGTGGGGTGCAACCTTGGTTGAGTCACTGGGGTCCATTTGTGGCTGGAACCACCTGAAGGTGGGCAACACTACATGGAGAGCTATTGAAGAGTGAACACATCAAGAGATTGCTAAACTGAAGGAATTCAGCTGTGGACCAAGACTGAAAGACTGCAGACAATACTAGTCTGAGAAGAGACCTGTTTTGGGATCATAGAACCCTGTTGCTCCAACTGTTTGTCGTAATGGCTTCACTTTAATGCCTGTTGCGCCAGAGTCATGCCTTTCTGTTTAGAAACATACTCAGTGAATTGTTACGATTAGGCTGGGGAGGGTTTATGTGGCATCAGCTGGGAAATTTATATGATTTTAGGGTAAGTAATATTCCCCAAATTTATCATATTCATGTAGATGGAACCTTTTTATGATGCTGTAAACTTTATAAAGCCTTGCGGAGGAGTCGGTGTATAAATTGAATCGATCCGTCATCTCTTGCCCTTCGCCAGCCAGTTTGCCTCAGCTAAAGCCCGAGGGGGTTCTTTCAGTCCTAGCTTTAGATGCTGATCTGGGCATCGTGAATACATCAGAGGCTGACAGGCAAGGGCTTTGAGAAAATCAAATTAATTGCTTAACGAATCTGTCTATGGCTCCAGAAAATGCCAGGGGCGATCTGGTGGCTTTTAAGAACATCAGAGAAGCCCTGTTGGATCAGGCCGATGGCCCATCCAGTTCAACACGCTATGCCACACAGTGGCCAAAACCCAGGTGCCATCAGGAGGTCCACCAGCGGGGCCAGAACTCCAGAAGCCCCCCCCCACTGTTGCCCCCCAAGCACCAAGAATACAGAGCATCACTGCCCCAGACTTGTAGGGAGGGAGAAAAGCATTGGATTTCATCTGTTTCACATGATGTAAAAATATACCATGCATGTAAGAGACATACCAAAGTCACAGAAACACCCTATTTTAACCTACCTCAAAACATTAGAGAAAGGGACTGGTGGAAATCCAGGAGAATAACACCCCTCCACACACAGACTTTTGTAAATCACTGCCCCTCCGATGCTGTTCCAGTTGATGGTGGAGGAGAGCACCCATGGTAGCGGGTTTAAATTACAGGTGGGAGGTTATTAGTGAGGTCTGAGGAAAAACTTTAACAGTAAGGGTGTGTGTGTGTGTTCAATGGTAGAATCAACTACCCAGGGATGCGGTGGGCTGGGTTGGGGTCTCCTTCCTTGGGGGTTTTAAAGCAGAGGCCCAATGTCCATTTATTAGGGATGCTTCTTTGCACAGAGTTATCCAAATGTGGAATTCGCTGCTAGGAGACGCAGTGATGACCAAAGGCATAAACAGCTTTACAAGGGGATTAGACAGATTCATGGAGGTCTATCTGTCACAACTCACGACTAGCCAGAGAGACTAAAGGGAACCTCCACGGTCAGAGGCAGTTACCACCTCTGGAATAGCAGTGCCAAGAGGCAACACTGGGGGAAGCCCTCAGCCTCTGTGCCCTTCTGTTCTCCGTCAAGAACTGGTTGGCCACTGTGTGAGACAGGATGCTGGACTAGACGGACCACTGGTCTGATCCAGCAGGTCTCTTCTTATGTGCTTATCAAGGAAAGGCCTCAGCCTCTCCACCCTGTTGTTGGCCGTCCAGAGGAACTGGTTGGTTCTGTGTGAGACAGGATGCTGGACTAGACGGACCAGTGGTCTGACCCAGCAGGGCTCTTCTTATGTGCTTATCAAGGGAAGGCCTCAGCCTCTCTGCCCTGTTGCTGGCCGTCCAGAGGAACTGGTTGGTTCTGTGTGAGACAGGATGCTGGACTAGACGGACCAGTGGTCTGACCCAGCAGGGCTCTTCTTATGTGCTTATCAAGGGAAGGCCTCAGCCTCTCCGCCCTGTTGTTGGCCCTCCAGAGGAACTGGTTGGCCACTGTGTGAGACAGGATGCTGGACTAGATGGACCAGTGGTCTGATCCAGCAGGTGGTTTCTAATGTTCTTAGGTTGCTGGACTAGATACACCATTGGTCTGATGCAGCAGAGCTGCTCTTATGTTTTTATGAATAAAAACCAGACACTGGACTACATTTTTCAGTTGTGTTGCAATTTCGAAACCCACAGCCAACAGATTTCTACTGGCAGGCTTTCCGCTGATGTAGAAAAGGTCCTTATTTATTAATCGGAACATTATGTACAGATAAAGACAAGCCACTGGGAGCCTTCCAGGGATGCAACCAATAAATATAGGCCACCAGCTGTGTCTCGATAAGGAGGGAGCTATAACTGTTCAAGGACATTCTCTTTGGCTGAGAGCCGTCGTTTTTCTTCCAGCAAGGCATGGTACCGTCTTCGAGTGGTCTCGATTTCACTTTGCATTGAAGCGATTTCTGCGGCCAAGCGGATTCCTGGGGGAGAGAGATAGGCAGGCTGGATTAAGTGTTGCATTATGGAACAGAATTTGGGTTTACCTCCCTCTAGGGAGAGCAGATCCAGTTGAAGGACGCCAAGAAACAAGATCTTGGAACTTTGCCCCTCTGGTGACAAGAGAAGCGGCTTTGCTTATGGAGAGGACGGGCAACGGGGACTGTCCCAACATGGCACTTCTTTTACTAAAGGGATTTGACTGCCACCATCTGGCGCACAGGGCGTTCACCAAAGATATGCAAGGGCAGAGCGGCATCCCTATCAGCACCCCAAGTGCGGCTCGCTGTCAATGGCAGCTTTCGACTGAGTACCAGACGCTCCCAACCATGTGTTACTCTGTGACTCTTCCACCTTCTACTGTCCCAGGGCACTTTTAAAATTTATTTATTGTATCTATGAATCGCTGAATCCCTGCCGCGGCAGGGCTCTGGGTGATGTACGAAAGCCATAGAACAAAGACAAGATAAAACCAGTTCAAAGATTAATAAATTATTTCAGCAATCAGATGGCAAATAATTAATCAATCCCCATTCCAACAGCCGACTGCTTCGTGGGCGGGGGGAGGGCGAGACAGGTGTAAATGACAGACAACAGAGAAGAGTGCCAGCCAAGATGGAACCGTCGCTGTCCTCAGCCAAAAGCCTGGAAGAGCCCCTCTGCCTTGCAGCCCTGTGGAATTGCATCAGATCGTGCAGGGCCCTGGTGGTACTTGAGAGTTCCACCAGGTTGGGGCCAGGACCGAAAAGGCCCTGCCCCTAGGCGAGGACAACTGAATGTCTTTAGGGCCAGGGAGCACAAGCAGACTGCTGTCTAAGTAGCGCAACGCTCTCCCAGGGGCATAACGGAGACGGTCCTGTAGGTATGACGACGTTTCCAGCGCAACTTGACATTTGCAGTGGCGACTAGGGCCGATCCAACAGGGCTTGTCCGCAGAGATATTGACGGTTAATTTTTATCTATTTAGATAGGTATACCCTGCTTCTCTCCCCAGCCCCAAAGCAGGCGATCACAATGTTCTCCTCTACTCCATTTTATCCTCACAGTATGCTCCCTTCTAAGCTGTGGAGTCTTGTGAGCAAAAATTCTACTTTGTGAGCGACTGGCATTAAAGTTGAGAGCGAGCGATTGGGCTGCTGCATAGTTTGCTCTGGCGCCATCCTTCCTGAGCTAAGACAAAAATGTGTGAGCCGGAGGCTAAAAAACTGAGAGCTGGCTCACACAAACTCAGCTTAGAGGGAACACTGGTAACAACCCTGCAAGGTAGGTCAGGCTGAGAGAGAGAGAACACCTGGCCCAGGGCCACCCAGCAAGCTTCCACTGCAGGGTGGGAATCTGACCCTGGGACTCCCAGATCTGAATCCAACCCTCTGACCACCGCACACCACACCGGCTGCCTGAAGGGCAGCTACTGGCTCCAGTGATCCAAACGGCTGCTTCCAACAGTAGCCAGAAGAAAAGGCTGCGCATCACTAGTCTTCTCTTACTTCTATGGGGGTATAGATGAGACTGGGAAGAAGGGGAAGAGGTGAGGTTGGAGGTGGTGGTAACCAACGCTCCGTCTGAGCTGTGGAGTCTTGTGAGCAAAAATTCTACTTTGTGAGCTACCGGCATTAAAGTGGTGAGCGAGCGATTTGGCTACTGCATACATTCGTCTGCTCTGGAGCCCTCCTTCCTGAGCTAAGACAAAAATGTGTGAGCCGGAGGCCAAAAAACTGTGAGCCAGCTCACACTAACTCAGCTTAGAGGGAACCCTGGTGGTAACTGATTCTGGTTTCTCACCTTCTTGGAAGGTCTTTTGCGCCTGTCGCAGGCTCTGGGGCACTAGGATCCCAAACCAAGTTAGAGGGTCTTGCTTCCCTAACTTCTCAGCAGGCTGGGAGATTTCTTCCTGGGGTTGGACCGGAGCCTCTGTTTTCTCTGCACCCTTCCGCCGTCGTAGAACTGAAAGATAAAACGATACCTTCAGCACAGGCAGCTTGGAGAAGAGAGATTCAGCCCTAATACCACATGAAACCACAAGCAGCAGCATCTTTTCAGAAGGTTCAGGGAAATGTGCTCTGCTATCTCAGAGTCTTCTGGTTGCAGAACAGACCAATGCTTGGTCGAAGCCAAATTTCTCAATGGCCAGTTTTTACATGTTTGTTTGGATTTTTTTAATAGCTTTTTTATTATTATTATTATTTTAAATTAAAATAAGGATATAGGAAAACAAGGGAAAAGGGGGAGATATTGATATTATAACAATCTAGAACTTATAACAAGGATGATCAACATCAGAGTAAATACAGAGCATTTAACACAGACATTTAAAGTACATACGATTAGGAAGATTTTTATATACTATATACATTTATTATTAAAGCCTAGCCTTTATTACCATTAGTTACTATTAATATTAATAGTCTAGTAACTGTTAGACATTGATTATTATACGTTAAATTACATCTTAATACCTACGGCTGTCATAATCTAACTATAATCAAGGAATACATTTTAAGAGCATTTCTAAGAATAAGGATACCAATAAACTAGGTTCATGTACGCATCAAAAACTAATTTTGTATCTTGAATAGAGCATTATTTCAGAAAACACGTATATTTATATCACTGTAGTATTATACCTATAACAACCTTAATTATATTATTGCCCAAGCTATCATTATACTGATGGAAAAATAAAAAGTATTATAGTAACTTTAATACAAGTCACTCATATTTCATCTTTACTCATAATAAGCATAATAATTTGCTCATTTTTTTCAAATTCTCTGACTGGTCTTTTATTTATATAGTTAATTTGGCCATAATTGCATATTCTGTCATTTTTAATGTGCAAAAAGAAAAATACAGAAAATATAATGCATTGCTTTGTAACAGAATGACTACATAAGTGTCAATAAAAATATTAAATTTTAGTCCATTATTAAAGTTAATTCCTCATTACCAGTAATGAAATGCTTATTTAAAAAAAGGAACAGAAAAAAATTACAAGTGTTAAAAAACCTACAAAATTCACATGGCTTTTGTTCCTTCTTGTATTTTCATTCTTTGTTTGCTTAGATTTCTTTTGTGAACTCTACTGTAGGATGCTGATATACCAATATATAATTTCACTAGGATAGCAGACCGTAAGGATTCATTTTATATACTTGTTATTACGGCTTGAGGGGCTGAGGCCTGGAATGAAGATTTTTATTCCACAACATTTTACAATTATGACACTGAACGGGGTACTTCTGATTTCTGTTGCTTATATTTTTCCTTGCAATGACGACAAAGAAATCCTTGGCTTTTAATATCTACTCAGCGGGGAGTAGCAAGTTCCACTATATCTAATATTCATCATGGCCCTCAATGCAGATCGTTAAATCAACAAATCTGAGACAGCCTCCAGGTTTGCACAAAAGCCTGAATGGGAGGGGAAAAAGACAGGAATTTTTGAAATTTTTGGAAACCTTTACCTTACAGGGTGAAAAGTCAAAATCTTGCAGTGCTAGATGGTGAGATCTCGGCTGCCACTTTTATGGTTGCTTAGCAACCTGATAAACAGGCAAAGGCAGGGAAGAAGGAAGGGTGAGCAGGGTGCCACTGTAGGGGAGAGCAGTTGGTGTCATAAGTGAATGGGGCAAGCAAGGCAAGTAATGAGAAAAACAGCAAGTAAACAGGAGGAGGCAGGGTGGTATGGGTTGGGCTCTGGAGCATGCCCAGTAGGGGCTTTCTCAAGTCCCGACCTTTATTTCCTAGTTGTCCCAACCAGAAAGCCTTAAAATCTTTGGGTGCATTCAGTCACCTTGGTCCATGGGGCCAATTTCCTCAACGGCTGCTGTATTTTCAGCCTTTGAAGTATCCGCAGCTTCCGAGACCACATGAAACTCCACCTGACCTTCTTTATTCTTTCTAGATTGAGCAGAAAAACAGAAAGATGGAACACCGAGCATATACTCTAGCAATAGGTCATCCTCGGGCTTTAGGTAGCAGGGATCCCAGTATTTTAGTGATCATTTTCAGTGTAATTATGTCATTAAGTGGGTACCAAAATCTGGAAAAAAAATCAACAGTACCATCTCTAAGAGGAGTTATACTCATCTGAGTCAAGTGAAGTCAATAGGGCTTAGAATGGTGTAACTCTGCATAGGATGGCTCTGGAACAGCTCCAGTTCCAGTCAAGATGCCTCCAGCGGCAAGGAAGATAAGCGACAAGGCAAAAACAAAATCCACGTTCCACCTTTTACTGGTGGTGGAAAGTGCTGCCAAGTTGCAGCTGACTTACGGCAACCCGCAGAGTCTTCACGGCAACAGATGTTCAGGGGTGGTTGGCCACTGCTTGCCTCTGTGTAGCAACCCTGGTATTCCTTGGAGGTCTCCTGTCCAAGTGTTAATCAGGGCCAACCCCGCTTAGCTTCCAAGATCTAATGAGATCGGGCTAGCCTGGGTTAACCAAGTCAGGGCAACACATTTTATTAGGACCAACTAAATGGACACAAAAGATTGCGCAAGCTTCCAAGCTCACCAGGACTCTTTGTCAAGCTGGACGTTCCAGAAGTTAAAAAAAAGATAAAGAGTAGAAAGCAGTTCCGTCAGGCCGTGGTGTTATAAGGTCTGGCCTTAGATGCAACTAGGTGATTGCTGGCCTGGTGTCATCTTTCAGCAAGGTCTCTGAGAGGCAGAATTCAGTCCACGTTGTACAATCTCTGTTTTCTCATAGGACTCACAATACAAGAACTCATGGGCACTCCATGAACGGATAAAGGGAAGTACTTCTTCACCCAAAGAGTGATTAACACTTGGAATTCACTGCCACAGGAAGTGGTGGCGGCTAGAAGCATGGACGGCTTCAAAAGGGGATTAGATAAGCATATGGAGCAGAGGTCCATCAGTGGCTATTAGCCACAAGGTATAGATAGGGACTCTGGGGCAAGTGATGCTCTGTCTTCTTGGTGCTTGGGGGGGTCAACAGTGGGAGGGCTTCTAATGTCCTGGCCCCACTGGTGGACCTCCTGATGGCACTGGTATTTCTGGCCACTGTGTGATACAGAGTGTTGGACTGGATGGGCCTTTGGCCTGATCCAACATTGGTATCTCTTATGTTCTTATGACTACAGAAACCACCCAAAGTCCATCCAAAATTGTCCCAAATGTCAAACAAGGAACAGGTTAGAACAGATACCTATCTAGGCCTCCAGCATAACCCAGGCTAGCCCGATGTCAACAGATCTCGGAGGCTAAGCAGGGTCGGCCCTGCCAAGTATTTGGATGGGATTCCTCCAAGGAATACCAGGGTCATGACGTGAAGGCAGGCAATGGCAATCTACCTCTGAACGTCCCTTGTCTTGAAAACCTCACCAGGGGTCACCAGAAATCAGCTGTGACTTGACAGCAACGAAAAAGAAAAAGGAAGTCCAGGGGGAAGCTGACATCATTCAGCTCCTAACAGGCTAGTGTATCTATTGCTTTTTAAAACCCCACTTTTCTAAAGAACTCCAGTGTGGTCCTCCATTTGTTTGTCTGTTTATTTGATTTATACCCCACCCTCCCCGCCAAAGCAGGCTCCATCTTTCATGCCCTTTCTACCACCCCCATCGTTCCCAAGTCAAACCCAAGTAGCAAGATTCAGGCCTCGATCCTGCCTTCGCCCCCCTCCCCTCACCTTGTGTTCACTTGCATCAGGGGTGTCATCTGATGCCCATACTGCAGAGCAGAGACAGACTTGTTACCCATGGCATAGCGTGACTTCGAGAGGGAGAACCAGCCCTGAGGACGGAGAGACAGACGAGGTTAGAGAGAAGGCCATCCTGCAGTGGCTACCTACAGAGAGCACCCTGTGTCTGGCTCCCAGGAATAATTCTCCCAAAACTTTGGGAGGGAAGCAAGTGTTACAAAGGCAGTTTCTGCACCAGATCTCCAAAAGCAGCAGCAGACCACATATCCATCACAGTGAGAATAAGAGGACCTGGCCCCACTGGTGGACCTCCTGATGGCACCTGGTATTTTTGGCCACTGTGTGACAGAGTGTTGGACTGGATGGGCCCTTGGCCTGATCCAACACTGGCTTCTCTTATGTTCTTAGGCTGCAGACCCAGACTTATCTGGAAGCTCCCCCTGAACCACGGTCTCACCTGTTCCACCAAGCGGTTAAAAGATTCCCTCTTGGTCTGGAGCGACTCCAGAACATCAAAAAAGTGAAGGATGGTCTGGTCCAGCTCCTCACATACTTCACTTGGTCCCCCATCCTCAGCTGGAGCCATCTGGAATAAAGCCAAGGTATGCAAACTCTCATTTAAGAACATAAGAAGAGCCATGCTGAACCAGAGCAAAGGCCCATCGCATTTAACATTTGGTTCACAAAGTGGCCGAACCCAAATCCCAGAGGCCCACGTTCATTCCCCCTGCCCTGTGGAAGAGGTGAGAGGTAATTTTTTTTTAAAAAAAGCAACCCACAATGTTCGTCTCCTCTATCTGCCGTCTGTCAAGTCTCCACTCCAACTAAATTTGTTTCCCAAGGTCCCATCTTACAGTTAATTCTATGAAAGTTTACATAAGCTGAAGGAACTATGTAAATAATAAGGAATAATCTTCTCATTAGCTCTGTAGCCATAAATTGATTCCTTAAAGGAAGAGAGTATTGTCTACCCATATGTTTTACTCTTCAGCATCTCAAATACAGGAAATGTATTAAAGGGCCCACTGTTGCCACCAAAGGTTGCCAACCTCCAGGTAGGGCCTGGAGATCTTTCACAATTACCACTTATCTCCAGACAACAAAGGTCAGTTCCTCTGGAGAAAAAGGCTGTCTCGGAGAGTGGATTCCATAGCATTATACCCCACTGAGGTCTCTGTCTTCCCTAGGGCTTTACCTCCAGTCTCCAGGAATTTCCCAACCTGAAGTTGGCCACCTTACCTGAGTGGTAGATCCTAGATCAGTAAGAAGAAATGGAGTTCACACAACAAGAAGTATGGACTTCATACAACATACAATTAACTTACAAAAATCACAACCACAAGATGTGGCAATTCCCTGTAACTTAAGTTTTAAAACAAAAACTGGACAAACAAATAAAGGAAAGACCAGCAACTATTAACCAAGCAGAACCTCCATATTCAACAGCACTATGCCCCGAAGAATCTTTCCCCCCCTCTCCCTTCCCCCCTTTTAACATCTAGCCAAACCAAAAGCAGAGTTTTGCAGAGCTTGGAAGTTTGCAGATTGTGCTATACCGACCACGGCCGACCCTGCTTCGCTTCTGAGATCCAGGTCAGGTCACATTTGCCTGGCACCACAATATAAAGTATTGCACGGGTTTTGCTTTTTGCATCATAACCCACAGAGTTTCCCCTCTCCCTCTTTCTTTGCTAAATCCAGCCTGAAGAAGAGCTTTGTTGAAAACAAAAAACTGACCATTTGTAAAAAATTTGTCTTAATGAAGGTTTTATACCTTTGGGGATTTTTCTCCAGTGGCCCACCCTGCAAGCCGTAGACCTTGCTAAGAAAGAAACCCCTGGGCCATCAGCTGTTCTGTTCACGAAAAACTTCCTCCTTCTCTCCGCTGTGTTCCCTTCTAATGCCCTCGGTTCATTTACTTCCTCCTGCCCTCGCTTCACCCTCCCTCTCCACTATTGTTCCCGCCTTTTCCTCCTCAACTACCAATCGAACATCAACAGTGATCCCGTTTTGACCAATCACTTTAGAATGGAGACCAAGAGACCGCAAATCCGGCTTACCCACATTTCATCTCGAGAGGGAGGGGTGGCCATCTTTGTCAAGGGCAGAACTCCGACTGCTACTGAGGCGGTGGACGCCCCGGCGGCCATCTCGAACGAGGTCGGCCGGCCACTTCCCGGAAATGTCTGTAACCGTCCCTCCCCCAAAGAGAGTTCAACAAGAGATGCGCACATCTACCACGGCTCCCAGTGGGGTCTGCCACATGCGGGGCAAAAAGAGGGCGGCACTCATGTTAACGACATGTAATAAAACTGACCAGCGCTGCCAACCTCCAGGTGGCACCTGGAGATCTCCTGCTATTGCAATTGATCTCCAGATGACCAAGATCAGATCCCCCAAAAGTCATGCTGCTTAACAGAGAAACTCCAAACTGAGGAGAGGGTAAAGTTTAGAATGAAAGAGAGAGCTGGGATGCTGGTGGACCTGTGAAGCAATTAAAATTAAAAGACTAATAGTGCAGCTGGCCCTGTTCCATACAAGACCCCAGACATCGGTCACCTAAAGTCCTCAGCCCCCCCCCCCTCCTTTTCCCTCCTCCTACCTAAAAGCTTTCTCACCTAACCTGACCTTTTAGCTAACTGTCACTATCAAACCTGCAGCTAGAATAGGCCCGGTAAGTTAACCATAGTGATGGGGCTGTGGTTAAAGAAAGCCAGGTGGGTGTAGGACGGAGTTTAGTTTTCCAAACTAACTTGTAACAGCAAGCTAAATGAAATGGTGCACTAAATGAAGATGTTTCCTGTGACAGAAAAAAAGATGTGTAAAGGAAAATTTCCACTGCTAAGTGCTTTGCTTGTGTGACGTGTAACCTGTAACTCGTATAAATGCTTTGTTACTGCGTAGCTCAGGGTTCAGCCATTTTTAAGCCTTTGTGCTGGCTGGACCTGACTTCAAATAAACTTTGCTTCTCCCACCTGATGTCTGGTGGCCTCCTGCTTTGGGATCAGACCCTCTTTTCATTGTGCTACACCTGGGAGTGCAAGCAAGGTGGAACTTAAATATGCATTTTTAAATACACCCAGTGTGATGTATTGACTGGACTGTTGATAATGGATGCGGAAATGGACATATTTTTAGACATCTTCTGGAAATGTTTTATATGCTTATCTGTAGGTAGACATGCCACCACTGTGGTTATGTTTTTTTCTTATGTTTCCTATTGCTCTTCTGTTTTTTGGGAGGGTTAATATTAAAAATTAATACTAGAGGAGGGGAGGCCTGATTTCATTCATTCATTCATTCATTCATTCATTCATTCAGCTTGCTATCCCGCTCTAATCCCCGGAGGGGTCTCTGAGCGGCTACAGTTACTCGTTTAACCCTAACCTATGGCCACAATTTTTTGGGGTGGGGACAATCCCGACCGACACCCAGTGGAGGGGTTTTTCTTCTCCCGGTCGGCTGCGTCAGCTTCGGTCGTCGCTCAGCTTCTGGCTCCTTGTCCTGGCGGTCCTTCGGTGGTGGAGTGGGCGGGCCCTTCTTCCAAGCTCCTGCTCGCCCTGAACCTTACCGGGTGACTTTTGCCCAGTCAGTCTCTTAGCCTCCCTCACAGGGCTGTTGTGAGGATACAAGGCAGCGTGCGAAACCACCTGCTGTGCTCTTTCGAAGAACGGCAAGATGACTATGCCCTCAGGGATTATACTAACTGAGCAAGGATGTTAACTTACGCACACAATTGACTGCAACTGGTGAAAAATAACCACCGTTTGGTGGTGCACCAAGGAAAGGAACTACTACAACCTTGTCCTCTTAGGCCCTTTGGCCACCTGCAGGGGTAAGGTTGCCAAACTCCTGGAGATTTGGAAATGGAGCCTGGGGAGGGCAGGGTCCTCTGCGGTGCACAATGCCATACAGTCCACCCTCCAAAGCATCCGTTTTCTCCAGGGCAACAGATCTTTGTAGTCTGGAGAGGAGCTGGAATTCCAGGGGATCCTTAGGTCCCACCTGGAGGATGGCATCCCTAATATACCAGGGTCACACTTAGTCCAGATTCAATGTTCCCTCTAAGATGTGGAGTCTTGTGAGCAAAAAAATCTACTTTGTGAGCTACTGGCATTAAAGTTGTGAGTGAGCAATTTGGCTAATGCATAAATTAGTTTGCTCTGGACTTTGGAGCCATCCTTCCTGGGCTAAGACAAAAATGTGTGAGCCAGGGGCTAAAAAACTGTGAGCTAGCTCACACTAACTCAGCTTAGAGGGAACATCAGAATCCTGTCCAACAACAGCATACAGAGGCCAAGGTCTTCCCCTCGCCTTTTTGCAGTTATTTGACAGCATTGCCACCAAAGGCAGCAGCAGCCTCTGCCCTATCTGATGCAGTCAGATCCTTTTTACCAGGAATTCCAAGGCTCTTGCCCCGCACATGGAGGTTTCTACCAACTGCAGTCGGGAACCGGAAGCCTAATTAAAGAACCGTCCAGACCGTGGCCGCTTGTCTAGCAGCCCTTTGCGAGGTACCGCGCAGCCATGTTTGTGCCTTTATTGTGAACAGCTATCAATCTACCTTTCCCCTTTGGGTGGCGTCCTCTTCTCCTATTGGTGGGGGCTCTGTTGGCCAATGAGAAGCGAGATCCGGGAGGAAGGCGTCTAAACCCGCATGGTGGAGTCCCGCATGATCTATTGGCATCATGGTAAGTGGAGAAGGGGCTAATAAGGCGTTTGCGGGGTACCGTGATGAGTAATTTTTATTTACCTCGTGTTGCTGCTGTAGGGTTGCATGAGCAGAGCTGCGCTCACGTTTAATTCGGAGTAGCTGCCGACGGGTACATAAATTCGGATTAGTTACCGAGGTGCGGAGGAAATGCCCCTGATCTCGTGGAATGGGTTGCAGAATGGAACCCTGAAGGGGGATGTTAAATTAATGTAGAGAAAAGCGCGGGCACGTGGCCTGGAGAGGGCAGTGGGTTGATCGTGTTGTGCATGTAGTAAAATAAATTGTGGCTTTTAAAAAAGGGGGTGCTGTTTGTGGTGTGCCTTAGGTTCGGAATCTCTTACATACATTTTGCTGCAAGAGTGTGGGATTCGCTGCCAGATGCTGTGGTGAAGGCCACAGATGGTTTTAAAAGGGTTAGACCGGTTTACCAGAGACAGATCTACCATTACGTAGTTGCCGTGGTACCGAAAGGGAACTTCCATGTTCAGAAGCAGTCAGCCTCTGAATAGCAGTGCCAGGAGGCAATATCAGGGGAAGACGTCGGCCTCTGTGCCCTGTTGTAGGACCTCCAGAGGAGCTGGTTGGCAACAGATTCAGGTGGGGTAGTCCTTTTGGTCTGAAGCAGTAGAACAAAGTTTGAGTCCAGTGGCACCTTTAAGACCAACGGAGTTTTATTCAGGGTATAAGCTTTGGTGTGCAAGCACGATGAAATATACCGTGAATAAAACTTTGATTGGCCAGAGTGTGAGACAGGATTCTAGACTAAATGGACCACTGGTCTGGTCCAGTAAGGCTTTTCTTATGTTCTTATTTGCTCCCTTTTTCTAGGATACAAATCCAAAATAGGGTGGCCAGCGTCTGTCACATGGCTGGTCATATTTAAGTCCATTTGGAACGCACGAGTTTGAACTCTGCCTAAGTCCATTGAGTTGGGGGCAGTGTCAGGATGTGTCTCTATTGGAGAAGTATGTTTCCTGGCTCCTTAGCAGATGTTTCGGGGTGTGTGAATCTATTCCCTTGGGTACAGTGTGGTGACTGAATGTCTTTGATTTATCCTGCTTGTAGAAGAGTCTTGGAGGTTCAATTCATGCTTCGGTATTCCTTTTCAGTTGCGCCGGGAGGCCCGTCAGCGGCGGGAATACCTTTTCCGCAAAGCCCAAGAGGAGAAACTCCTGGCTGTTGAGGAGAAAAAGGAAAAAATCAAGAAAGCGCTAGATGGTAACCAAAAAGTTTCTGCTGACTTAAAAACGTCTCTGTGTTTGTGTGGTTTTTTTTGGGGGGGGGGGGGCTTTAATAACCAATGCATGTGTGCAGGAATTTGCAGTGAAGGACCAGTGAGCCTCTGTGGTCCCTTACCTATGGTGCAATCGATCACATCCCCAGCTTTAGAAGCGATAGCAATATTCTTCTCCCCCCAACTGACTCTTTTTGGAAACCTATGTGCCACAGTCGAAAAGTAACACATGGGACACATCCGTCTTTCTCATAAACTGTTTGGCTTTATTTATATTCTGACCAGTCCGGCAGGTGCCAGGAGGTGTACAGCGTTGTCATCCAAGTCATATCTCTCTCTGCTGTCAGAGAACTCAGCGTTTAAATTGTGTGTGTGGATGGTTTGTCGGAACAAAGCAAGGGGAAATGTTGAAATCTTTCCCGCTAACTAGCATTTTCCTTTTATTCTCCCTCTCCCAAGATATGGCTCTCCTTCCACATAGCAGCCATCTCGCTTCACTTTCTCCTCTGCCTCCCGATTCTGAAACCACAAAGGGAGAGCTGAAAGGATGGATAAAAAGTTCTCCCTTTCTATGCTTTTTAAAAAATGTGCACCTCTCTCTCTCTCCTTCTCAATATGTACTTCTTTTATACACCACGACTTTTCCCAATGGGGACCCAAAGCAATTTGCATTGTTCTCCCAGCCTCCATTTTACCCTCACAACAAACCTGTGAGATTATGCTGAGAGTCAGGATCCCATGGCAGAGAGGGAATTAGCCTATCTTAAAGGACAGTGATAATGTTTATTCGGATAGTGTATTTGATGTGTTTTTGACCACCTGGAAGACACTCTATAAAAGCATTGTTAATAACCCCTCTGAGAATCTTGCTGAAAGCCTTGTACTCCCCCCCCCCTAAAAATCTGTAAAATTGGGCAAATGTGCGTTGGCTGGACAGAGTTCTTTCTGTGGCCTCATTTCTGTGTTCTAGAACTTTTCTTTGCTTTTTCCTTCCAGAGAACTGCCTCATCCCCACAGAACTGCGGAAGGAGGCCCTCAGACTTCAGAAGGCCATTGAATTCGAGGATGGCGGTGCAACAGGTGAGTAGGGAATGGGCTTTGAAATGGCTTCCAGAGGTCCAGTTTTGGCCCAGATGTGGAACAGCCTGCAGGCTTATCGGACGAGATGTGGGAAAGGGAGATGGGAAGGAGGAGGAAGAGATTCATCTAAGGCTCGGCAGGAAGGTCCCGGCAAGAGGGCTTTGTCTCCTCTCCCGAGCTTAGTTGGAGTCATGGCTTGGGACCCAATTCCTGTCTGGAATTCCCGGATAGTCCTTTTACCATTCCTTTCCTTTAATAGTCAACTCATTCGACCTAAGGTCTCAGATCAGGCCACAATAAATTATTTTTGTTTTTTATTACTATTGTATGTACATATTTCTGCATATTTTAAATTCTGTTTTATTTCTGAATTTGAAATTAACACTTAATTTTTTTCCCTTAACCCCATCATAAAAAAAATAAATAAATCACCTCTTCCTTCCATGTAATCACCACCAAAAAGAATTTTTGCCATGACTAAAGTAATCCTCGGATCCTCATCCTTTAATAAGAATGGTACAAACTTAGTTCTATCAACAGACACTAAATTCCTCAGGACTGGATCCAACCATTTCGTTCTATATAGGTCATACCGTGGGTGACACAAAATCCTATGATCCAATGTTTCGATCTCTCCCTGTATGCCTGGAGAGTGTGAAGTGTGTAGAATTTGGGAACAATTTTTGGTGTGCCGTCTCGCTCTTAAATGGTCACGGTCAGGAAGTCCCCATCCCACCTCAAAATCATGGGTTGACTTTTCTGTACTTTTGACGGCCTCGGAGTTCAGCCTGAATTAGAGGAGGGATGTTGGGTCTCGTGCACGTGTCCTTGAGAGTGCCTGTCTCCTTGTGGGTTTGTGATTCTTGTGTTGCTGTGGCAGGGGTGACTACGAATGTGGATGACGAGTACCGCTGGGCAGGTGTGGAGGACCCTCGCATCATGGTCACCACCTCGCGTGACCCCAGCTCCCGTCTCAAGATGTTCGCTAAAGTATGTGGAGCTGCTGCTTCCTTTCAGTGGGAGGGACGGGGAACGTCTTTGGGCGGGTGACTTGGGGGACTAGAGGGACACTTTGTGGGGCGGGGCAGGACCGATTTCCTTCTTGCAAGCTCGTACGTAGGGATCGTATTCTCATGTTGGCTGCTCCCTGAGATGAATCCCTGCCGTTTCTCTGTCCAGCTGGCAGGCCTCTGCCTCAGAAGATAAGCTTTTCCCCCCTGCATCTCCCAAAATACTAGAACTGGTGGGCATCCAGGGAACCTGATGGGCAGTAGGTTCAGGAGGGACAAAAGGAAATTCCACTTTTCACAGAGAGTGATTAAAAGGAGGAATTCACTGCCAGAGGAATAAACCGCTTTAAAAGGAGATTAGACAGATTCATGGAGGAGAAGTCTGTCAGGGCCTGCTAGCCATGCTGGCAGAGGGGAATCCCCACATTCAGAGGCACTAATCCTCTGAGAGCCAGTAGGCAACATCAGGGAAGGCCTCGGCCTCTATACCCTGTTGTTGGCCCTCCAGAGGAACTGGTTGGCCTCTGTGTGAGACAGGATGCCGGACTAGATGGACCACTGGTCTGACCCAGCAGGGCTCTTCTGATGTTCTTGTGAAGGGAAGGCCTCGGTCTCTGTGCCCTGTTGTTGGCCCTCCAGAGGAACTGGTTGGCCACTGTGTGAGACAGGATGCCGGACTAGATGGACCAGTGGTCTGACCCAGCAGGGCTCTTCTGATGTTCTTATGAGGGGAAGGCCTCGGCCTCTGTGCCCTGTTGTTGGGCCTCCAGAGCAACTGGTTGGTCACTGTGTGAGTCAGGATGCTGGATTGGACGGACTATTGGTCTGATCCAGCAGGGCTTTTCTTATGTTCCTAAGCTTGGAGGTTGCCACAGGGCTTTGCTTTTGTGGCAAGGCTCAGTCTTGGGGCATGAGGAAGTCGCTATGCCTCTGAGTGTCCTCATGGTGCCTTCTCAACTGTAGGCCCCAACACGGTGCCTGTAGGCACTGTGGCACCTGCCAACAACTTTTCTGCCACCCGCCAGCTGTTTTTAGGAAGTGGGTGGGGGCCAGGGAGGTCTTTTGCTCACTGAGGCTTCTGATTGACCATTGAGATCTATTGAGCAGTGCGGATTTGATTAAGCGTTGCTTTGGCAGCAGCTGCCACCACAGCACAAGGATCTGCACTGTTTTACTGAAGTCAAACTGCGGCGGTCATTTTGTGTCTGGCTCCACCTCCTGTGGCAACCATTTTGCGGCAGCCATTTTGTCGCTGTGTGCACCATGCCTTGTCATAATATCATAGGTGCTCTCAGGCTCCAAAAGGTTGGAACCCCCGGTCGACATCTTCCACACTGGAGGATGCGGCTCGCAGAGGCAGATGAGTGCTAAAGCTCTGAATCCCAGAGCCTAAGGCAACAGCAGGGGAAGGCCTTGGCCTCTATGTCATGTTGTTGGCCCACCAGTGGAACTGGTTGGCCGCTCTGTGAGACAGAATGCTGGACTAGATGGACCACTGGTCTGATCCAGCAGGGCTCTTCTGATGTTCTTATGCTGGCCTTGGCCTCTCTGGCCTGTTTGTTGGCCCACCAGAAGAACTGTTTAGCCTCTATGTGAGACAGGATCCTGGACTGGATGTACCACTTGTCTGACCCAGCAGGGCTCTTCTTATGAAGGGAAGGCCTCAGCCTCTCTGCCCTGTTGTTGGCTCTCCAGAGGAACTGGTTGGCCACTGGGTGAGACAGGATGATGGGCTAGATGGACCACTGGTCTGATCCAGCAGGGCTCTCCTGGTGTTCTTATGAAGGCCTGGGCCTCTCTGCCCTGTTGTTGGCTCTCCAGAGGAACTGGTTGGCCACTGGGTGAGACAGGATGATGGGCTAGATGGACCACTGGTCTGATCGAGCAGGGCTCTCCTGGTGTTCTTATGAAGGCCTGGGCCTCTCTGCCCTGTTGTTGGCTCTCCAGAGGAACTGGTTGGCCACTGGGTGAGAGGATGATGGACTAGACGGACCACTGGTCTGATCCAGCAGGGGTCTTCTGATGTTCTTGTGAAGGCCTTGGCCTCTGTGCCCTGTTGTCAGCTGTTCAGAGGAACTAGTTGGCCACTGGGTGAGACAGGATGATGGGCTAGATGTACTACTGGTCTGATCCAGCAGGGCTTTTCTGATGTTCTTGTGAAGGCCTTGGCCTCTCTGTCATGTTGTCAGCTGTTCAGAGGAACTGGATGGCGACAGGATGATGGACTAGATGGACCACTGGTCTGATCCAGCAGGGGTCTTCTGATGTTCTTGTGAAGGCCTCGGCCTCTGGGCCCTGTTGTCAGCTGTTCAGAGGAACTGGATGGCGACAGGATGATGGACTAGATGGACCACTGGTCTGATCCAGCAGGGCTCTTCTGATGTCCTTATTAGCTTGTCTCTTAATCAGCAGTGACCCTGGGTCTGGCCACTGTGGCTTCTTTGTTCCACTTGTTTGTTCTTCCCTCTTTCGATCTAGGAGCTCAAGTTGATCTTCCCGGGAGCCCAACGTATGAACCGAGGTCGGCATGAGGTGGGCGCCCTTGTCCGTGCCTGCAAAGCTAACGGAGTCACAGATCTGCTGGTGGTGCATGAGCACAGAGGGGTGCCCGGTGAGCAACCATTTGGGGAAGGGGACAGGTTGGGTGTGTTCAAGGCTAATAGCAGTAACCCCAGTGGGTGGGAAAGCTTCTGGAAAGAGTAGATATCGCTAAATGCACATGGTGGTTCTGTCTTGGCTGAGGTTGGAGAGACTGATGCAGTTTTAGTTCATTCTTTGGGTCAGCTGTGTGGGTGGGCTTAGGGGTGTGCATTCGGTTTATCTTAGCTGGAAAAACTCACTAAAAATACCTTACCGGTATTTTTCAGGTATTTTATCAGCCAGGTATTTATCCAGCTATCCGATATGACTGAGCTGCCGGATAGCTGGCGTTAAAGAGTGTTTAAAGGGACTGCAGTCTCTTTAAACTGTTTTCGGGTGACGCTACGGCTTGGAGAAGGACCACAAGCCCTTTAAATGCCTTTCCTCCCCTCCATTGGCAACAATGGGGAATGGGGGCACCTTTTTCTGGGGCCCATAGAATTGGACCCCCTTGTCCTGTCTTTTTGAAACTCAATCAGCATCACTTGTATGCAAAGCTTATGCTCCCTTCCTCCGAGGCACAGTGACCTGCTATCCTCTGGGCTGTTGTGGCTGGGTTGGCTATGCTGCAAATTTGGTGCCTCTACCTCAAAGAACAACCCCCACAAAGCCCCAGATACCCCTGAGTCAGTTCTCCATTATACCCTATGGGGACCATAGAGTATAATGGTCCCCATTGGGGATAATGGAGCCGAAAAAGTTCGGCGATCCTGAATATTAACCGAATCCGAATACTGTACTGGTATTGGGATTTGGGAATATTGGGAAATACTGATTTTTTTCAGGTTCAATATACCTGAACCTGAAAAATACCTTTGTATGTGTGTTGTTGTTGTTGTTTTGCACACCCTTAGTGGGCTTGCTTGTACAATTCGTGCAGCCATTTGCTCAGCCCGGGCTTTCTCTGCTATTTTGAGTGGTGTGTTGGACTAAGACATGGGAGACCTGGGTTCACATCCCCTCTCTGCCGTGGAAGATTGCTGAGCGACCTTGGGCCAGTCGCTCTCTCTCTCTCTCAGCCTGACCTGCCTCACAGGGTTGTTGTGAACATAAAATGGAGGAGCATGGAAGAGATGTTGAGAGCTGCTTTGGCTCCCTGTTGGGAAGATGAGTATGGGACGATTAGCTAATTAAATGCTGTTTAGACTGGCCCAGCATTGCTTCTGTGTAGAGCTTATGCTCCCTCCCTTCAGAGCTCAGTGACCTGCTACACTCTGGGTTGTCATGGCTGGGTTTGGTCATGTTGGAACGGAGCAGAACCGTTGGGTGCAGAGTTCTGACCTCATAGCAGCAGCAAGCTGACTAATAGCTGTTTTAGGCTGTAATCCTACGCAAATGTACCTGGGAGTGCTGTGCTACCAAGTTGCAGCTGACTCACGGCAACCCCTCATGGGGTTTTCAAGGCAAGAGATGAGCAGAGGCGGTTTGCCATGGCCTGCGTAGTGACTTTGGCCTTCCTTGGTGGCCTCCCATACAAGCGCTTACCAGGGATGACCCTGCTTAGCTTTTCAGAGCTGATGAGAGTGGGCTACCCTGAGTCATCCAGGTTAGGGCAGAGATGAACAGAGGTGGTTTGCTATTGCCTTCCCCTGCATAGCAACCCCATTCTTCAGTCCAAGAACAGAGATGGTTTGCTATTGCCTTCCCCTGCATAGCAACCCCATTCTTCAGTCCAAGAACAGAGGTGGTTTGCTGTTGCCTTCCCCTGTATAGCAACCCCATTCTTCAGTCCAAGAACAGAGGTGGTTTGCTGTTGCCTTCCCCTGTATAGCAACCCCATTCTTCAGTCCAAGAACAGAGGTTTGTTTGCTACTACGTTCCTCTGCATAGCAACCCCATTCTTCAGTGCAAGAACAGTGATGGTTTGCTGTTGCCTTCCTCTGCATAGCAACCCCATTCTTCAGTGCAAGAACAGTGATGGTTTGCTGTTGCCTTCCTCTGCATAGCAACCCCATTCTTCAGTCCAAGAACAGAGATGGTTTGCTGTTGCCTTCCTCTGCATAGCAACCCCATTCTTCAGTCCAAGAAAATAGATGGTTTGCTGTTGCCTTCCTCTGCATAGCAACCCCATTCTTCAGTCCAAGAACAGATGGTTTGCTGTTTCCTTCCTCTGCATAGTAACCCCATTCTTCAGTCCAAGAACAGAGATGGTTTGCTGTTTCCTTCCTCTACATAGCAACCCCATTCTTCTGTCTAAGAACAGAGATGGTTTGCTAATGCCTTCCTCTACATAGCAACTCCGATTTTCTGTCCAAGAACAGAGATAGTTTGCTATTGCCTTCCTCTGCATAGCAACCCACCCCCGTTTTCCTTGGCGGTCTCCTATCTAAGTACTAACCTTGGCCAACCCTGCTTAGTTTCTGAGCTCTAATGAGCTCAGGCTGGTCTGGGCTACTCCCATTAAATAAAGTGGGCCTTACTTCTGAGTAGACATGCGTAGGGATGTGAGTGCTTGTAGCGGTGGGTTACCTTTGGCAGCTTCTGCATTCTGGCTTTGAGGCTGGTGGCCACGGATTCGAAACCTGGCTAATCGCAGTTTTTTTTATCCTTTCAGATGGGCTCATAATCAGTCACTTACCTTTTGGCCCCACGGCTTATTTCACACTTTGCAACGTGGTGATGCGCCACGACATCCCGGACATTGGCACCATGTCCGAGGCCCACCCCCACCTCATTTTTCACAACCTCACCTCCCGGATCGGGCAGCGGGTAAGATGTACTTCAAGACAAGCTGGGAATTATTCGGAAACCGAAGTAGCTTGCCGGTGTCATCCCTTATATAAACCTTTCTTTTCTATTCCTGTTCATTTAGTTCAATGGTTTCGAACAGCCGCTGAGCGTTTATGTTTAAGCAACTAATGGAAAGCTGCCCACATGATAGGATCTCCACAACGAAATATGATAGGCAATGCTCCCTCTAAGCTGTGGCGTCTTGGGAGCAACAATTCTACTTTGTGAGCTACTGGCATGAAAGTTGTGAGCGAGCGATTTGGCTGCTGCATCAATTAGTTTGCTCTGGAGCCATCCCTTCCTTAGCAAAGACAAAAATGTGTGAGGCGGAGGCTAAAAACATGTAAGCTGGCTCACACTGACTCAGCTTAGAGGGAACACTGATGCTAGGGGTTGTCCACTTGTTTTAGAAGGTTTCCATATTTCTTCAACGGCGGCCAAAAACCTAGCAACCCTGTATGGAACCCATCCATTGACACGGCTCTGTGTCGTAGAAGTCTCAGCAGTTGGAGAAGCAGAGTCCTTATTAAGTTGGGGGGAAATCAGCTCCTGTCTCAATTTTAAAAAACTGAGGGCAGCTTAAAAGTATGTGGATGGGAGGGCGATCTGGCTGCGCCGTCCGTCACCCCATCGATCGCCAGGGTTGATTCGGCTGATCTGGCTGGCTGGGCGGGTGTCCCCTCCCTCCCTCCCCGCTCCGTGGGCGTCTCTCCTGAAGCTGCACGCTCGATGGAAGAGGACGACCATCCCAGGTAGAAGGCGTGTCCCTTATATAAATCCAGGGTATGGCTGCTTTTGGGAAGCCGTGGGTGGTTCTGGTTCCCCCATCCCCCAAAGGATGCTGTAAAGTTGGGAAAGGTGCCAGAATGGTCAGCTGACATTATCTAAGCTTTTGGAGAGTGTCTTGCCTACATAGTGGTGTAGCGGTTTGGTGTAGTGGTTAAGTGTGCCAGTTTGGTGTAGTGGTTAAGTGCGCAGACTCTAATCTGGGAGAACTGGGTTTGATTCCCCACTCCTCCGCTTGCAGCTGCTGGATGACCTTGGGCAAGCCACAGTTCTGTCAGAGCTGTCCTTGAAAGGGCAGTTCTCTGAGAGCTCTCTCAACCCCACCTACCTCACAGGGTGTCTGTTGTGGGGAGGGGAAGGGAAAGGAGTTTGTAAGCCGCTCTGAGACTCCGAGTGTCGGGCTGGGGTATGAATCCAGTTTCTTCTTCTTCCTCCTCCTCCTCCTCTTCTTCTTCATCTTCATCATCTAGCAGTAGAAAAGAGCAAGAGTCCAGTTCACTTTAAAGACTAACAGAATTTGGGACAGGGTAGGAGCTTTCATGAGTCACTGGCTGACTTCTTCAGATACTCACGAGAGCTCCTCCCCTGCCACAAATTTTGTGAGTCTTCAAGGTGCTGCTGGACTCTTGCTCTTTTCTACTGCTACAGTCAGACTAACACGGCCTCCCATCTTGATCTGTGTCAACTAGAGTCCGGCAGCCCCTTAGAATAGGTTAAAAGCATATGCAGTGCACAGTTGGTTTAGTGGTTAGCCAGTTTGGTGTAGTGGTTAAGTGCGCGGACTCTAATCTGAGAGAACCGGGTTTGATTCCCCACTCCTCCACTTGCACCTGGCTGGATGACCTTGGGCAAGCCGTAGTTCTGATAAGAGCTGTTCTTGAAAAAGAGCAGGTTCTGTCAAGAGCTCTCTTAGCCCCACCTACCTCACAGGGTGTCTGTTGTGGGGAGGGGGAGGGAAAGGAGTTTGTAAGCCACTCTGAGACACCTTTGGGTTGTGAAGGGCGGGGTATAAATCCAATCTCTTCTTCTATTCTTCTATATGGAATTTGCTGCCACCAGCTTAGGGGGAATTAAAGAAAGGTTAGAGAAATCAGTCTTGGATTGTTGTTTAGCCTCTGGGTTCAGAGAGGGGGCATCTGTGAATACCAGCCGCTGGGAGCCACCAGTTGGGGGAGTCTTTGTGCTCTGTTGGTGGGCTCCCTTGAGGCTGACCACTGTTGGAAACGGGATACTGGGCTAAACAGCCCTTGGGGTTCATTTATTTCTTATCTTTCTGTCCCACTATGTTTCCATACTGGAACTCAAAGGCAGTGTTCGTAAGACTCGCAGGTGGTCTCCTATCCGGGCACAGACCAGCCCTTGCTTTCTTTGGTTTCTTCTGCCCATTCCCTGGCTCAGTCCACTCGAGCTGCTGTTTAAATGTCGCATCTTACCTTGGACTCATAAAAAATCCTAACCATAGATGGGCATTTACTAGAGCCCGGCTTGATGTGTTACCTTCAGCAGTACTTTATGGTAGATATAACCGGACTCCCATGCACCAGAGAATTTGCTCCTGCTTGTTAGAACAGGTGGAGTCGGCTGCCCATATTTTACTCCATTGTCCTGTGTATGACGTAGAGAGACAGCAGCTGTCGATACCCCTTCTCTCACGGTTTAAACCCTTGGCTAACTACCTTACGTATGCCGAGGAATGCTTGATGAAGTTCTTAGTGGCCGATAATTATGATCCTGTCTCACGCAGTGTTGCTAAATATTGTTACTTGGTAATTGAAAAACAGAGTGTACTGTGACTTGAGCCATTAATGATGGAATTGACTGGTTTGACATTTTAGAAATTACGGTTGTAAGGATCCTGTGTTGTAGACTCTGTGTTGTACTATTTCGGTTTATTGTGCTGGTCTTATGACTGTTCTTAATAAATGTTATGGTCCCTGGAGCTGCTGGGACGTTGTGGGCTGGTGGGCGTAGGGGAGTGGGTGAGAGGAGATTCCCGGGTATGTTTCTCTGTGCCTGAATTCAGCAGAGACCATTCTTGATGTTGCTCTCAGATCCTGCAGTCTTGCAGCATTGCTGCGTTCCGCTCAGGCCAGGCTCCGCCTCCCAAATTGCCGAGAGGGCGACGGCGGCCCGGTTCTCGTCCCTCCCGGTTTTGCTTCTGAGCTTGGCGAAACGTCCTCCGCTCCGTGCTTATGCCTCCCTTTATTTCTCCCCCACCCCCTCTAGGTCACCAGCATCCTCAAATACCTTTTCCCGGTACCCAAAGAGGAGAGCAGACGGGTTATCACCTTTGCCAACCGAGATGACTACATCTCCTTTAGGTATGTGAGTCTCTGGCCGTTTCCCTGAGAGAGCGACTGGCGGGGTGGGTGGGAGTCTTCAGCCAGTGGGTGCGGTCAGACAGCGTGCTGGGAGCAATTTAAATTGCTCCGGCCCTGATGCGGTCTTTTTTAACCTGGAGAATTGCGATCACACTCACCTCCTTGCTCCGGATCGCTGCGCAGCCACATCGCTCCCCCCCCCCCTCTCTGTTTGTGCATGCACACAGGCAGCCATCTGTAGAACTAAAATTTTCGTGCGTGCGCAGAACAGTGATTTCCACTTCAACCCGACTGCTGTAACACTTCCCTTTAAACGTTTACCCCGAACATGGTCTCTGTGAGATCCCGAACTTGTCTAAATGCTAAAACTAGGCACTGTGGGGAGAAGCAGGGAGGAAGCAACTTACCCTCCCTCTTCTCCTGCCTCCTCCTGGCTGAATGAGGGCCGGAAGCGGGGCGGCCGGAAGCGGGGGGCGGGGCTTCGTCATATGCCCCGCCCCCCCGGACCTCACCCGGGGGAACTGCGATCGCCCGCGATCCCCCCGAAATGACCTCTGGCTTCAAGGAGGAGTATAGTGGTTGGAAGAGCCAGTTCTTGGCCCCACTCTAGCTAGGAGTGACAGACTGGGATCAGGCCAAACTCTTAAAGTGCCGCTGCCCCGGGAGTGTTATCGTGTCCTGCGTATCAGCCCCTTGCTTTGAGACCAGTGCCGATAGTGCTTGGTGCTGCAGCGTATGCGCAGTGTGACATTTCACTGCCGTCTGCTCCAAGCCCAGCAGTTGTATTTCCTTGGCACTGCTGTACATGTGACTTTGTATGCTGTGTGCCACACTCAAATGGCAGGGACAGCACCAACCAGGGGAGAAGGGCAGAGGCAAACGGGGTTCGTTGGAGAGCTGGAGGCATCCTAATTTGGCTCCCGTGGCCTCTTCAGATGCCCGCTCTAAGTGTGAACTCTTTCCTGGACAGGCACCATGTCTACAAGAAGACTGATCACCGGAACGTGGAGCTCAGCGAGGTTGGGCCGAGGTTTGAGATGAAACGTGAGTAACGTCCTTAAGAATGTGAAACCATCGAGTCCCAAGTTCAAGAGCCAGCTTGGAGTAGTGGTTAGGAGTGGCGGACTCTAATATGAAGAACCGGGTTCAGTTCCCTACTTCCGTGCTTGAAGCCAGCTGGGTGGCCTTGGGCAAGTCACAGCATTCTCTGCCTGAAAAGAAGCATAGCTCGCCACCCAGTGGTGCCCAAAAAAGAGCTACAGTCTCAGGCAGCCAATCAGTCCTTCGGGATCGTCCTGGCTATTCCACGCACAATGCCATGCGATAATCCCCCCCCCCCCATTTCAGTTATTCAAGGAATTCTGTATTCAAACCACCGCTTTTCCCCCTCATGGCCTCAGCCCTACTGGCTACAGTGTGGGGTTACACAAACGTGCTTCAGAGGGCCAGTCGTAAGGATTACTGAGTGCTAGATAACCGGCATAGTACTTAGAGCGTCAGACTAGAATATGGGAGACCCAGGTTCGAATTCCAACACTGCCATAGAAGCACTAAGCCTCTGAATCCCAGAGCCAGGCAGAAACATCAGGGGAAGGTCTCGGTTTCTATGCCCTGTTGTCGGCCCTCCAGGGAGCTAGTTGGCCACTGTGTGAGACAGGATGTGGGACTAAGATGGACCACTGGTCTGATCCAGCAGGGCTCTTCTCTTCCCCCTAATGTTTCTAATCTAAAATATCTAATATTTAATCAAGTTTTTGAAAAGGAAATATAAAGAAAAGAAAGGAAAAACAGGGAAAGTAGAGAAAGTGGCAATAGAGAGCAAAATAAAAAGGAGTAAGTTCCGATGTTCTCTGTGACAGACAGCCATACATTTACATGTTACAACTTTACTCTGAGATCAGATTAAAGGAATTACATCTCCTTTCCCCGTTAGTTTATTACTTTTGCCTCTTACTCTTCAGAACCACAAATCATCAATTCATTTTTTTTCGTTTTGCTCAAGAAGTCCATAAGGGGTTTCCATATAAGCATGAATTTAGAGAATGTCGTGGTGAGGATAAAATGGAGGAGATAATGACGGAAGCTGCTTTGGGTCCCTATTAGAGAGAAGGCAGGAGACAAAATTTAAGGTGGCCTCAGTACAGCCCTGCTGCAGCTGATCCGAACCCTCATTTTTGCCTTTCTGGAGTAAAAACCTGGCCCCTCATCTTAAAACTGTGTCCAGACTGTACCACTGGCTCACATGGGTACATTTAAGGAGGAGGAGGAGGAGATTGGATTTATGCCCCACCCTTCACTCAGAGTCTCAGAGCGGCTTACAAACTCCTTTCCCCTCCCCACAACAGACACCCTGTGAGGTAGGTGGGGCTGAGAGAGCTCTGACAGAAACTGCCCTTAAGAGAACAGCTCTGACAGAACTATGGCTTGCCCAAGGTCATCCAGCAGCTGCAAGTGGAGTGGGGAATCAAACCCGGTTCTCTGATATTAGAGTCCACGCACTTAACCACCACACCAAACCGGCTCTCAGTATTTTAATTTAATTTATATATTTATTTATATTTGAATTTACATCCCACCCTACCCCTCTCTGTACACAGAAAACTGGAGGCCCTTTCCCCTCAGAACTATTTATTTTTGACGTGGAGGAAGTCCCTCTGTCAGTTTCATCCCCACAGCCCTGCCAAAATTAAAAGAGAGTCATTTAAACAAGGAGCAGCCTGGCTAGCCTGGACTAGCCCAAGCCTGTCAGAGCTCCGAAGCTAAGCAGGGTCGCTCCTGGTTAGTATTTAGATGGGAGACCACCGAGGGAGACCAGGGTCTCTATGCAGAGGATGGCAACGGCAAACCACCTCTGCTCATCTCTTTGCCTCGAACACCCCATGCGGGTTGTTTGCAACTGGATGCAACTTACTGATTCATTTAACCAGACAAATGCCAACTTGCTGAATTGATGTACGGCTGAAACAGTGGGGGGGCCTCTGTGTGTGTGTGTGTGTGTGTGTGTGTGTGTGCTTCCACAGAGAAGAACCAGCCCGCGGTCTGAAAGCGTTCCTTCTCTGATTGCAGTGTATATGATCAAACTGGGAACCCTGGAGCAGGAGAGCACGGCCGACGTGGAATGGCGCTGGCATCCGTACACGCACACGGCTAAGAAGCGGAAATTCCTCAGTGTGGAATAGTCTCGTCGTGCCACATTTCTCTGCTGCACCTTATCCCCTAGACGCTGGCCGCGTATCGGGCTCTGAAGGGGACTGGATACTTGGCAGTGGAACTCTTTCCGCCCCTCCTAGGACTGGAGACCTCCATGGTTCCTTCAGCCAGTGGCTCCGCCTCTCTCCGTTTCCTCACGCGGATGATTGGACTGCCACAAAGGCCTGGCTGCTTTCTTCAGGGGAATGTTTGCTATCTTAGGGCTTCCCCGTTCAGCTTTTGAATTCGGCACCTATCAACAGGCCTGTGCTGTAACCAGCTGGATGGCTTTCAGAACTACCAGTGGGGGGGCGGGTCAGCATCAGTAGCAAAGAGGATCTTCTCACAGCCCTCCCTCCGAAGTCCCTCAGGTGTGCTTCAACTTGAACAAGGGCTACAGGGGGTACTCAGAAAAGCTTTGGAGAGGGTGGTAGCTATGGCCATTTCCCCTTCTCTCCCACGGATATTCCGTCAGGGACACCACCTTTGGGATAATAAAATGGATGGCCTTTCTCTCTCCTTGGTTCTGTTTCTGGTTTCTTAGATGCGTCCCTCGGTTCTGTGGTCACAGGAAATATCTTTTTCGTGAAAAGCAGGGGGGGGGCAGATAAAGTTCTGCTTGAACTCTGGGCAAGTGGCAGTAGATTCTGTTTGGTGGGGTGGGGAGCTATCTTTTTCCTTTGCAAACGCTTTCAAAACTGACTCACGTTCATAATTGGTCTTCCGACCTTCGGCTTCATTTCTGACGCTCGATCTCCTACGCTTGCCCCGGTCGGCGTCACTTAAGTCCATTCGGTCTTGCAGCACGGGGAATCGTTGGAATGAAGAGGCGCCTCAATTCTCCGGCAGTCCGCCATCGAAGAGGCAACCTCTTATAAGTTCCATGGCCAGGGTCCCTTCGCTGGGACCCTGGGGGAGTTAACGAGCCTGCGCACCCTCTCCTTCGGCTGGAGTGCAGCTTCACCCCCGGGAGGTCCGGGAGGTGAGTCTGCTAGTGCGCCGCCATCAGCTGGAAGTCCTAGTGCCAGTAGATTCTGGAGGGTACAGGGAGGGGGTCCCGATGTAGAAAAATGTGCACACTGGAGGGGGAAATTGTCTTTTTTGGGTGATGCAAAATGGCTGCTTTTTGGTAAGTCGGCCTATGCCCTCTTTGCGACAGAGGTTGGGGGACACAGTGTGTTAAGGCAGTGCGATCGATGTTGAAGTAACAAAGACAGGCCCTTGCTTAAATGTTTCAGTACAGTACATCGTTCCATTCGCTCGTTCCTTTCTCCCATATCCTCCCGCCAATCACTGCGATACAGGGACCTTTGGTGGTGGTCATGGACGTTCCAAACCGGAACGGATTGAAGGTGGAGGAGAAGCAGCATTCCATGTGTTATTTCCAGAAGAAAAGGAAAAGCAGGAGGAGAGGAGGTTGAGGGAGGGGGACATGATGGCTCCCTTGAAGTATCTGCAGGGCTGTCCCTCAGAGGAGGGCAGGGAGCTGTCCCTGTGGGCTGCGGAGGAGAGGACCAGGGCCAGCTCCAGCTTATTTTGCACCCTAGGCAAGGATCCCTTCTGCCCCCCCCCCCCCCCGTGCGCCTACCAATTTTAAAAAATAAATGCATTTTAGGAAGAATGAAAAACACAAATAATCAAGAAACTCCTAGAGTACGGGGCCGGGTGCAGTTTGGTGCCCCTAAGGGCCGTCCCGCTCTAGGCAATCGCCTAGTTCGCCTAGTGCGTGAGCCGGCCCTGGAGAGGACGTGCAAGCAATGCTCCCTCTTAAGCTGTGGAGTCCTGTGAGCAAAAATTCTGCTTTGTGAGCGAGCAGGTGATTTGGCCGCTGCATCAATTAGTTTGCTCTGGAGCCATCCCTTCCTGAGCGAAGGCAAAGATGTGTGAGCCGGAGGCTAAAAAAACTGTGAGCCAGCTCACACCAACTCAGCTTAGAGGGAACACTGCTCGCAAGAATGGGTTTAAACCACGGCGGGAAGATATGTTCAGCAGTGGCATCAGCTGCCTTGGGAAGTGGTGAGCTCCCCCTACCTGGCTGTCTTTTAGCAGCGGCTGGACCAACACTTGTCAGGGATGCTCTAGGCCAGTGGTGGCGAACCTATGGCACAGGGGCCAGAGGTGGCACTCAGAGCCCTCTCTGTGGGCACATGTGCCATCGCCCCAGCCAGGCCCAGACCATCATTAAAGTGTCGAATTCTCTGCCAAATAATTTTAAGTGAAGGAAAGCCTTTGGGATTGCTTTCCTTACTTTGTTTGGATCATTTTAAGTTAATGTATGAGTTGTTTTTTCTAAAGTAAAACCTCAGTATTCAGGTTAAATTGCCGTGTTGGCACTTTGCGATAAATAAGTGGGTTTTGGGTCACAGTTTGGGCACTCAGTCTCCAAAAGGTTCACCATCACTGCTCTAGGCTGACCCCACATTGAGCCAGGGGGTTGGACTAGATGGCCTGTACGGCCCCTTCGCACTCTGGGATTCTGTGGAAACTTAGGTTGGTAGTGGATTGTGGAGATGAGGTAAACATCCTTGTGTGGTTAGGAATCTACTCAGACTGATTAGAATGAATCTGTTTAATCTGAGGCACAGAACGGGCATTTTCAGGTATTGGGTTTTCAGTGTTTGCCGGCTAAAATATCCAAGGGTAATCTCGTACTTGGGCCCCAGAACCACTCGAGACCTGCTGAAGTGGGACAGACCGCTCCCATTCCCCCCCCCCCAAATCCCAGTTGGGAAAAAAAATCTGGATTTATTTGGTCGAAGAATTCCCCGTTTCACACTTCCGGCTTTCTCGCTTCCCAGCTGCCGAGCCTACCAAAGCGGCGGTGGCGGCCCCCCGGGGCGATTCGCTGATTGTACATCCACTCCCTACTGTAGGGGTAAATGTGGCGGCAGTTCAGTCCACTCTGTTCAGCTCCATGGCAGAAGCAGCGTCCATCTTTCCCCCCCTCTTTGAGTGCCGCTTATACCCTGGTCCACTCGGCGGGGGGGTCTCTCGGTCCCTTTGGCTTTCCGATGCGGAAGTTGAACCCTATGCAGGGGAGAGAAGAGAGAAGAGAGACGCTTGTTTTATCATTTCCTGGGTGATTGCCCACTGTTCCTTGTCATGAAAAACGACATGAATTTCGATAACCAGAGGGGAGCATGTAGAAGTTGCCCTGTAAGTGTAATGGCTGCTCTCCGTGAGAGTGATGCCCATGAATCCCCACCTCCTGTTGTGATGCTGGGCTAGGGGAGGGGCTGTGGCTCTGGGGAAGAGGCTCTGCTTTGCATGCAGAAGGTCTCCGGTTCAGTCCCCGGCATGTACAGTTGAAAGTATCAGGTGGTAGGTCGTAGAATCCTGGGGTACAAATGAAGCCTCCAGTGAAATCACATGTCCAGTGGTGCTTCTCTCTGGCCAACTGTATATTCATCTAAGGTTGTACAGCCAAATGTTCCAAATAAAATGTTCCTTAGGTTAAAAGCAGCCTAAGGAGTTGACCAGAGAGAAGTAACACTGAACATGTGATTTCACTGGCGGCTTCATTTGTATTTCTGTATTTCTTTTCCTTGCCCAGTGGTTAAACTTTGGAACAATTGGTTTCTGGTCTTTAGTCCATATTTTGTATATGTAGAATTGTATGTATTTTTGCACATCAGCCAATATGTTCTGTATGTATTAGACCTCTGAAGAAGGCCTGTAAAGGCCGAAACGCGTTAGGTCTACCTTATTAGGTCTATCTTATTAGCTCTTGTATGTTTTTATAGTTTTATATGAGGTATGAATGGGCCCTTGTTTGTTATTTTAATTTATGTTGAATAAAGTTGGCCCTTTTCTATTCCTGACTAACCTTTTTAGGTTTTGAATTCTAGGTTTAGGTTCATTTTCCCCCCCTTTTTCCTTCTTTGTCCTTAAAGCCTTGCGGGACATATCGTCCAGGCAGCACGCCCTGCTGTGGGTTACCCACGTGGCCATCCCAGGGTCAAGCATCCACGTCACTGCAGCGCCTCAGTCACGGAACGTGCTGCCAGGTCGTTTTTTAAAAAGCAGGTGGGTGCGTGTGCATATGCATCCATGCACATACAGGCAAAAACTCAACCCCTCCCCAGCAGTGGAAACGGATCTGCAGGTTCAGACCGCCAGTCCGTTCTGCGCACGCTCCTCCACGTTCAGACAGGGAACCGAAAACGCCACTTGTGATCAGTGTTCCCTCTAAGCTGGGTTAGTGTGAGCCAGCGCACCGTTTTTAAGCCTCCGGCTCACACATTTTTGTCTCCGCTGAGGGAGGAGGGCTCCAGAGCAAACTAATTCACGCAGCAGCCAGATCGCTCGCTCACAACTTTAATACCATCAGCTCACAAAGTAGAGTTTTTGCTCACAAGACTCCACAGCTTAGAGGGAGCACCCTTGTGATGTTTTCAAGCAGAGGCTGGACGGCCATCTTTCGGGTATGTTGTAGGTATGTTGGGTTCTCTTTCGGCTCTGCTCCTGCAGAGTGCAGGGGGTTGGACTAGATGACCTGCAAGGTCCCTTCCAACTCTAACATTCTATGATTCTATGATGTGGTGCCTTTTTAACTTGGCTCCAAGTCGTCCTACGACGGGGTGAATACGCCTGGGGAGCCCCCCGACAGATGTGGCTGTGTGACCTGCGCCCACATTTGATCCGGAGGGGGGGGGGCTATGTGAGGGCCCAATTGCTCATGTGATCATATCCACAGAGTTGGAAGGGACCTCCAAGGCCATCTAGTCCAACCCCCTGCACAATGCAGGAAAGACCTCACAATGTGAAAGACCTCTACCTGAGATCCAGGAGAGCGGCTGACAGTTTGAGTAGACAACACGGACTTTGACGGACTGATAGTCTGACTCAGTATAAGAGAGCTTCAGGTGTGTTCATAGGCTTAGATGGCCCGCTGGTCTGATCCAGCAGGGCAGCTCTTACGTTCTTATGTGGCACCCTTCTTTCTTCACGTGGCATAACTGGGTCCTCTCCTCCCAACAGTCCCTTGTTGGGTTTCTTTTGGCCTTACATAAGAACATAAGAGACGCCAATGTTGGATCAGGCCAAAGGCCCATCCAGTCCAACACTCTGTATCACACAGTGGCCAGAAATACCAGTGCCATCAGGAGGTCCAGCAGTGGGGCCAGGACATTAGAAGCCCTCCCACTGTTGACCCCCCCCCAAGCACCAAGATGACAGAGCATCACTTGCCCCAGAGCCCCTATCTATACCTTGTGGCTAATAGCCACTGATGGACCTCTGCTCCATATGCTTATCTAATTCCCTTTTGAAGCCGTCCATGCTTGTAGCCGCCACCACTTCCTGTGGCAGTGAATTCCATGTGTTAATCACTCTTTGGGTGAAGAAGTACTTCCTTTTATCCGTTCTAACCCGACCGCTCTGCAGTTTCATGGAGTGCCCACGAGTTCTTGTCTTGTGAGAAAGGGAGAAAAGTACCTCTTTCTCTACCTGCTCTTTCCCATGCATAATCTTATAAACCTCGATCATGTCACCCCTCAGCCTTCATTCACAGCTAAAGGTATGTAATGTAGTTTTGGTCAAAGGAAGGCAGTCCTCTGCTAGATCCGCAAGTTAGGGCTATAAGCTAGGGAGAATTTGTAGCTGATGGGTGAGCTGCCCTTTAAAAGCGATTCACAGTTAAATTAGCAAACAAACCCCTCTCCGTTGGAGAGGTTTTGAGGTACCGATGGAGATGCAACGCACGGCTTAGTAAGCAAAATGTAGCTCGCTGGTGGGGTGTCTTTATTTTTATTTCATTAAATGTAACCTGTTGGACCTGGAATACTTTCACACTACACCTAAACAAGTACGGGTGAGTCGGAAGAAAAGTTGATTCATTTGGAAATGTGTTGGAGGAGACTTTCACGGACACCACAGACTGCCAAAAAGATTTTAAGAAGTGGGCTCTAGATCAAATCAAGCTTGAATTCTCCTATAAAGAAAGGTTAAAGCACTTGGGGCTCTTTAGCTTGGAGAAATGAGGGCTGACATGACCGAGGGTTATAAGATTGTGCATGGGAAAGAGCAGGTAGAGAAAGAGGTACTTTTCTCCCTTTCTCACAATACAAGAACTCGTGGGCACTCAATGAAAATGCTGAGCAGTCAGGTTAGAACGGATAAAAGGAAGTCCTTCTTCACCCAAAGAGTGATTAACACATGGAATTCACTGCCACAGGAGGTGGTGGCGGCTACAAGCATGGGCAGTTTCAAGAGGGAATTAGATAAGCATATGGAGCAGAGGTCCATCAGTGGCTATTAGCCACAACATATAGACAGGGGCTCTTGGTCTGGGGCAAGTGATGCTCTGTATTCTTGGTACTTTGGGGGGGGGGGCAACAGTGGGAGGGCTTCTAGTGCCCTGGCCCCACTGCTGGCCCTCCCGATGGCACCTGGTATTTCTGGCCACTGTGTGATACAGAGTGTTGGACTGGATGGGCCATTGGCGTGATGCAACATTGGCTTCTCTTATGTTCTTATGAGAAGCAAAATGACTCAGTTGAGGCTATCGTACTTTGGTCACATCACGAGAAGACCAAGAGTCCCTGCAGAAGGCAATAATGCTAGGAAATGCGGAAGGCAGTATAAGAAGAGGAAAACACAGCATGCAATGGATTGATTCAATAAAGGAAGCCACAGCTTTCAGTTTGCAAGGCCTTAGCAAGGTTGTTAAATGATAGGACATTTTGGAGCTCTATAATCTGTAGACTTGCCGTAAGTCAGAAGTGATGATACATAATATTTTATATGGTATATAGTATTTTTAATGGTGGTCTCATGGATTAATCACCTAAAAGCTGTAGATCAAGATGGGTAGCTGTGTATGTAGCAGTGGAAAAGAGCAAGAGTCCAGTAGCACCTTAAAGACTTAAAAGCTCCTCCCCTGCCACAGATTTATGAGTCCCCTCCTCCGGGGCTTTTTTTCGTAGAAAAAGCCCAGCGGGAACTCATTAGCATAATAGGCCACACCCAGCAGCAGAAACATATTAGCATATTAGGTCACACCCTGACAGCCCAGCTCATTAGCATATTAGGCCACACACCCATGCCTTCCCTTGGCAAGCCGGCCATTGGACAGGCTGGGGAAGGCATGGGGAGGCATTTTAATGCCTCCTCAGTCCTTCCAGAGCCTCCCTCCCTCCATGGCCAACCTGCCTTGGAGTTGCTCTCCAGGCCTTCCCTCTGTAGCCACACATGCAGAGGTTTTGGCTGTAGTGGGCGTGGCCAACTCTGAAGCCAGCCAGAACTCCGTTCCTGTGCGTTCCTGCCCAAAAATAGTCCTGCCCTCCTCCATTTTATCCTCACAACAGCCCTGTGAGGTAGGCTAGGCTGAGAGAATGTGACAGGCTCAAGGTCACCCAGCAAGTTTCCATGGCAGTGTGGGGGTTTGAAGCCAGGGATAGGATGCCGACACTTCAGCCGCTATGCTACTGTGGCTCACGGGGTTATGATAGGAAGGCAAAACACACACGGAAGCTCCTCCCCTGCCACAAATTTTGTTAGTCTTTAAGGTACTGCTGGGCTCTGGCTCTTTTCTACGGCTGCGGATGGACTAACGCGGCTACCCTTCTTGGTATCTGAAGAAGTGAGCGGTGACTCATCAGAGCTCCTCCCCTGCCACAAATGTTGTTAGTCGTTAGGGTGCTGCTTAGGGCTGCCGAGTCCCCCCGGGGGGCGGAAATCCCCCCGCCCCAGAGGTCCGTTCCCAGACGCCGGGGAATCGGGCCCCGGGGGGAACCCCGCCCCAGCGTGCACGTCACAGGGAAGTGACGTCATGACGCCGGGCATGCTGGGGGCGGGGCCACGGCCATACAAGGGAAAACTCTACGGAGTCCCCCGCCGGCAGGGTAAGTCGGACTTGGCAACCTTAGTGCTGCTGGACTCTCTTGCTCATTTCTACTGCTGAGAGCGGCACTTGAGATTAAAGGTTACAGCCCTGTACAATGTCCGTGCGTGCACACAACGTGTATCAACCCCCCCCCCCGCTGACCCCTGTGGCCAAACTCTGATGCATCCTCTTCCTCTCCCGTGCAAACGCCCGCCCACTCCATGGAGGTATTCAGCTGTGCCCACCGCTCCCTTTACGCACCCATTGGATTGGCGGAAGAGCCCACCGTGCTTGGGGTGTTCCGGGAAACAGGATCGCCTAAATCTTCATATGCCTGTGAGGGGATATTCCGGGGTGACGTCAGAGCTGTTGTAAAATAAGGGGGGCTGTTAGTGTATGCTGCCTTCAAGGCTGTGACGGACATTCATTCATTCATTCATTCATTCATTGTATTTATAACCCGCCCTCCCCGCAAGCGGGCTCAGGGCAGCTCACATTGCCTGGCACAGTGTGCCAAGGTTCCTATACATCAAACATTTAAAACTTAAAACACTATTAAAAAATTTAAAACATTTAAGCAATCAACAATATTCAAGTAAAGTGCACTCAGTGAGTATTACTCAAGATGGCATAACATGTCATGTATGCTCAAATGGTCACAGGCTCCTAAGTGGATTGGCTCAAACTCACTACCGCCAGCTTCCACCACAGGTATTAATAGTGGTCACTGATGGTAATGTGGGCGGCTCCTAATCGAAGGCCTGATGGAAGAGCTCCGTCTTGCAGGCCCTGCGGAACTGCATAAGATCCCGTAGGGATCTCGCCCCCCCCCCCCCCAGGATCAGCAACACGGACTGGCTTGCACGCTCTTAGAAAGACCACTCTGAAAGAAGGATGAAAGCTGAACCGTTCTGGGTAAAGCTTTTTGGCACAGGGGAAGCCTGGCTGGAACTGAAATGGTGCCCTCTGGGGGCAGCTTATATAGAGTCTTGTGTGCTTGTATGGGGGGGGGGAATTGTGTGTTGCGGTATTCCAAAATATCTGTACTGTACTGCACAATTACAGGAGCTGCGGTGGCTCAAGTGGTTAAGACGCTGAACTGCAGGCTGTGGAAGGTCAGTAGTTCAGCAGTTCAAGACCCAAGTTGCCGCATGACGGAGTGAGCTCCCGTCTCTAGTTCCAGGTCCTGCCAGCCTAGCAGTTTGAAAGCAAGAAATTGCAAGTAGATAAATAGGTACCACTTCGGTGGGAAGGTAACAGCGTTCTGTGCGCCTTGGTGTTTACTCATGCCGGCCAAATGATCACAGAAATGTCTTCAGACAGCGCTGGCTCTTCGGCTTGGAAACGGAGATGAGCACCACAACCCTAGAGTTGGACTCGACTGGCTTTCGAGCAAGGGAACCTTTACCTTTTTACGGCGCAATAATGCGGCTTCTCTCTTTTGAAAGGGCAGAGAGGTAGGTCGTTGACACATCCATGCTTGGCCACTAGAGGGCGGTCTGCGGCCATCATTTTAGCAGGCATTTCTTTAGAAGCTTTCAAGCCAGTCTTACCCTAAAACCGAGAAACCTTAATCTTAAAAAAGTGTGTGGGAGGCCACATGCCGCTCTCGGTATCGACACACACAGACTCGCACCACTGGCCCACCTAGAACAGGGGAAGCCTTGTTGTGTTCTGAGTTCCTTGGAAGGATGTGGGGTGGCAGAAGGGGATCTAAATGGCATTCAGACTTTTCCTGGCTACTTGGCGATCCCTTTAAGCGTCTCCTGCTGAGTGAAAGCATGTAGTGGGCTAGCTTGGCTTGTAGCAAGGTGTGGCTGCCTCTGGGGTGGAGCAACCATAGATAGATGGCCACCCGGCTTTGACACTGGTCCCTCTAGCTGGGCCTTTAGTATCTGTTTGATTAGTGGAAACAGTATATACAAAGACAAATATGGTCACAGTCCATAGACATGAAGAGACAGAGCCACAAGAACTGTGTAAAGTGCGCTCAAAGTTTCTTTAACGATAGCAATAATATTATAAATATGAAAATTACAAAAATGATACTAATACACTCAAATTGTAAATCCAGTTATAGAAGATAACAAAGACGGCGGGACGGTGGTTTCCGGAATGTGATGCTGTTTCGACAACGTCTTCTTCTGACCAAGAATATATAAGTGGATGATGTGTGGAAAGTTGCACTTCGATAGAAAAGCTACCCAATTCGCATGGAGTTCAATGACATTTTTCACCTATTTCTTTGCACAAGTATCAGAGAATACTTCGCCTGAGAGAAATTTTCCGGAGACCACCGTCCTGCCGTCTTTGTTATCTTTTATAACTGGATTTACAATTTGAGAGTATCATTTTTGTAATTTTCATATTTATAATATTATTGCTATCGTTAAAGAAACATTGATTAGTGGAAACAACCAGGTCCACATGGGAAAAGCTTCCACTGCCCGTTTCCGTACGTTAAGCCTCTAGTGGAAGAAGAAGAGCCCCGATCTGGATCGCCCAGGCTAACCTGGTCTCATCAGATCTCAGAAGCTAAGCAGGGTTGGCCTTAGCTAATATTTGGATGGGAGATCTTGAAGGAATACCAAGGTCACAACGCAGAGGCAGGCAATGGTAAACCACCTCTGACTGTCCGTCTCTTGCTTTGAAAAACCCACGGGGTCACCTACAGCCTACAAATGCGGGGAGGGCGGGATATACGTCCAACGTAATAAAAATCAATAAATCAGCCGTGACTTGACGGCACATGCCACTGGCAGAAGAAGAAAAAGAGCTGGTTTCTATACCCCGCTTTTCTCTCCCTGAAGGAGCCTCAGAGCAGCTTACAGTCACCTTCCCTTCCTCTCCCCACAACAGACACCCTGTGAGGTAGGTGGGACTGAGAGAGTTCTGAGAGAATTGGTGACTGGCCCAAGGTCACCCAGCAGGCTTCACGTGGAGGAGGAGTGGGGGAATCAAACCCGATTCTCCAGATTAGAGCCTGCCGCTTTTAGCCGTCACACCATGCTTGCTTTCTACTAAGAGGGCAGGACATTTTTTCTTGTGGACAGATGGTGTTTAATGGAAAGCAGATTTTGCCTCTTTCAATGCTCAGAGCGGTTGTGTGATGCATTCCCCCCCTCCCCCCGCCAAAAGAAGAGTCCAAGATGTAAGTCCTTCTGTCTCACCTTTCTTCCCAGGTGATGAGGTAAAAACCTAAAGCAAAAGAGAAGGGGGGGGGGAAGTTACTTGGAAGAAAATAAACTTGTGTTTCTCTGCTTGCTCAAATGTGTTTGATGACAGAAGACCCCCAGAGAAACCATCGCCGATGAGCGCCTGAGATGGTGGCTGTAACTCTCCTGATTCTTGAAAACCCAAATTAATTTTGAAGTAGAAGCACATTACACTGCCAAATTGCTTTGATGGCAGCCTTTTATTGGGTTGTATCAGCTTCCAGATTTATCGGCTACAGAGATGGAGACGTCTAACTTACAAAAGAATAATAACTACAGGGGGAAAAAAGGGGGAAGAGTGTTCATTTAAGGGGGCAAAGGTGTTTGGGGTGGATCGTCCAGGTCTGTGCAGATAATGTGCCTTAAGCTGGATGGCCCAGACGAGCCTGATCTCCAATCTTGGAAACGAAGCATGGTTGTCCCTGGTTAGTACTTGGGTGGGAGACCGCCCACGAAGTCCTGATGGGGTTTTCAAGGCCAGAGATGAGCAGAGGGGGCTGGCCGTTGCCTTCCTCTGCAGGGCAACCCCTGCTCTTCCTTGGTGATCTCCCCTCCAAGTACTCACTGGGGCCGATCTTGCTTCGCTTCCGAGCAGTATTCCCTCTAAGCTGAGTTAGTGTGAGCTAGCTCACAGTTTTTTAGCCTCCAGCTCACACATTTTTGTCTTAGCTCAGGAAGGGATGGCTCCAGAGCAAACTAATTTATGCAGTAGCCACATTGCTTGCTCACAACTTTAATGCCAGGAGCTCACAAAGTAGAATTTTTGCTCACAAGACTCCACAGCTTAGAGGGAACATTGCGAGATGTCAAGATCGGGCTAGGCTGTTCAGAACTGAAATCCAGGATCGGTCCTTGAGGTTTCACCTTTGCCTAAAAGATTACATTTACAAGCCATTAGACAAGAGGAGGAAGAGGAGGAGGCTGGATTTATACCTCGCCCTTCACTTCAGAGTCTCAGAGCAGCTTACAATCGCCTTTCCCTTCCCCTCCCCAAAAACAGACACCCTGTGAGCAATGCTCCCTCTAAACTGTGGAGCAAAAATTCTACTTTGTGAGCTACTGGCATTGAAGTTGTGAGTGAACGATTTGGCTACTGCGGCGGGACACTACTGCATTAATTAGTTTGCTCTGGAGCCATCCTTCCTGAGCTCAGACAAAAAAGTGTGAGCTGGAAGCTAAAGAACTGTGAGCTAGCTCACATTAACTCAGCTTAGAAGGAACACTGCCTGCGAGTTAGGTGGGGCTGAGAGAGCTCTTTCGAGGGCTGCTCTTTCCAGAACAGCTCCGAAAGAACTTGTGACTGACCCAAGGTCACACCAGCAGCTGCATGTGGAAAAGCAGGGAATCAAACCCGGTTCTCCCAGATTCGAGTCCATGCTCTTAACCACTACACCAAACTGGCTCTCTACAATGGCTCAATTCGGGAGCTCAGTTTCTAATTTCCGGCAGAGGCTGTTCACTGCTGCCCTGTGATAGGGGGGAACCTGGTGCAATGCAAACTACTTACTGGGGGCATCAAGTTCCGCAGGAAGGTTTTGCCAAGTCCGTTAGAATGAGATGGGGAAGTGGTAGCTCTGGGGGGGACGTCGGCTGCAGGAGAGAGAAGAGAACAGACACCTAAAGTCACTTATTTCCAGGTCCAGGCCATCAGAGACAATACGTTTAGACCTCACCTGCGAACCTTGCTTTAATGCCCCAACAATTAGAAGAGGGAAGATTTTTGTGCTCGAACTTTCGGTATATTACAGAGGATGCTGCCATTCTGTCCCCCTAAAAAAGAATCTGTACTTGATGCTTGATTCGATTTTTTGCAACAACACTGGGCTGGCCTAGGAATTTGCTTATTTCTCTATTAGATCCAGGCATCAGAGATAAGCCCTGCAAGTGAGCAGAAAATAATTTTGCAATATCCTCCCCCCCCCTTTGTCCCCATGAGGTCTAGAATCTTGCTTGTTGGCATTACAGATCATCTTGGGGGAAGGGAGTGATGTCTTTGGTAGGATATTATTGTTTGGGTAAAGCAGGGTTCCCTCTAAGCTGAGTTAGTGTGAGCTAGCTTACAGTTTTGTAGCTTTGCACGTTTTCGTCTTAGCTCAGGAAGGGATGGCTCCAGAGCAGACTAATTGATGCAGCAGCCAAATGGCTCGCTCACAACTTTAATACCAGTAGCTCACAAAGTAGAATTTTTGCTCACAGGACTCCACAGCTTTAGAGGGAGCATTGGCGTAAAGTGCTGTCAAATTGCAGCTGATTTACAGCCACCCCAGCAAGGGGCTTTCAAGGCAAGTGAGGAGCGGAGGTGGTTGGCCAGGGCCTTCCTCTGCCTTGGTGGTCTCCCTTCCCAGTACCGACCCTGCTTAGCTTCCGAGACCTGATGAGATCTGGCTATACCATGCTGCCATCCCTCCCTAGGATATTATTATCATAATAGTTTGCGCACGTCCTCATGTCAAATGTCTCCTCGGTCTTTAACAACCTCTGCTTGTTGTCCTGACCTGGGAAGCCCAATCTTGTCAGATCTCAGAAGCGAAGCAGGGTCGACTCTGGCAAGTACTCGGATGGGAGGCCTCCTTGGAATGCCGGCAGTTGGGAGGCGGGGGCAGGCTTTATTCGGCCACCTCTCTGAATATCCTCTTGGCCAGGGGTGTCGAACTCATTTGTTATGAAGGTCGGATCTGACATAAATGAGACCTTGTTGGGCCGGGCCATGTGTGACATAAAAAGTAATGCCAGGTAGCGGAGATATAAAGTTTATAAAGGACACAAACACAAAGGTTTTTTTTTAACTTAAAGTAAAAACATGCTTAAAACATTAGCACTCTTGCAATATTTTGTTTATTTAACTGTGTCTGATAACTGACACTTCTTGCTCTGAATTATTGCATCAAAACGTCTGTGCCGTTGCAATCTTGAGTATGCTGTTCAGGTGTGTATCTGTAAGCTGCAAACCTACGATGGCGCAGCAGCAGCAGAACTGGAAGAAGAAGCAGAAGGTGGCCAGTTCCACTGCGGGCCTGATAGAAGCCCTCCGGGGGCCTGATCCAGCCCCCGGGCCACATGTTTGACACGCCTGCTCTAGGCCCCCAGTAGAAGTCAGTCACTAGAGGTCGCCATGACTTCCAGGTGCACACACCCATGCACATTAAACACACACACACAACAACCACCACCTCTGCCTGTTTACTCAGACGTTAGTGTTGCAGAGGTCAATAGGATCTGTCCTCAAGTAAATGAGTGTGTGGATTTGAAGGCCAGGTTGTTTTAGGGGAAACCACAGTTATCTCAGTACCAGCCCTGTCCACAGGTGCATTATGGAAAATAATACCACTAGTCCAGGGGTCGTTACGTAGAAAAAGAGCTAGGGGAACTCATTAGAATAACTCATTAGCATATGCCACACCCCCTGACATCACTGGAAGTGTGTCATAAGGCCACACCCCCTGACATCACCGGAAGTGTGTCATAAGGCCACACACACCATCCCCAACAGTCCCGGCCGCCGCCGCCGGCCTTGCAGCTCCACTGCCGAGCCCCATGAGGGGCCCAGCGGTGGACCTGCAAGGCCGGCGGGAGTGCAAGGAAGCCCCGCGAAGGCCCTCCCTAGCCGCAGGCAGGCAGGGGTGGGGAGAGGCAGGGAGGAAGCAACTTACCTTCCCTCTTCGCCTGCCTCCTCCTGGCTGAATGAGGGCCCGAAGCGGGGCGGCCGGAAGCGGGGGGCGGGGCTTCGTCATGTGCCCCGCCCCCCATACCTCACCCAGGGGAACTGCGATCCCCCGCGATCCCCCCCGAAATGACCTCTGGCTTCAAGGAGGAGTATAGTGGTTGGAAGAGCCAGTTCTTGGCCCCACTCTAGCTAGGAGTGACAGACTGGGGTCGGGCCGAACTCTTAAAGTGCCTTTGCAGAGTTGATGGGGGGATTACAGAGATAACGTTGAGGGCAATGACTCACACAAAAGCAGCTATTCTTGCACGTTACCTGGAGCAGGTGTGTTAACCGTGGCGTATTCACAGGCTGAACTGGGAGGCGGCCTTCTTACGGGGCTTCCAGGCAGCGAATGGCTGGCTTGCAATCCCACGAAGGCATTCGGGTCGATCGCTGAGGTGTCGGGGGTGTTGTTGGGCCGAGGCTTCACTGAAGTGTACAGGGTTGCATCTCCGCCTTGCCGGGCCTCGCCGGCAGGAGAAGCCACTCCTCCACTCCGTCGGAACTTGTTCACTACCGCGTAGGTATCCCCCATCTTGGGTGGCAGTTCCGGAAGGGCGGCAGGGGTGGGATCGGTGGGCACGGAAATACTCCTGGAACAGAGAATGCGGGATCCTGCCGTGTCTTCATCAAGGTTTACGGGCCAAGAATCAGCCACACCTCATTTGCCAAGGAACAAACAGATGTACCTCGTAGGCTTGCTAGCCCTCAAGTAGGGGCGGGCTTTGGCGGGCTTGGGGGCCACTGCCGGTCAGCTGGCCATCGGGGGAAACCCCACTCCTCAAAAGACGTCCCTCGGCGATGTCGTCGACTCAATGACATCACTTCCGGAAGTGATGTCATCGTGCAGGCAACGTCATGGGAGACGCTCTACTTTTTTGGGCAAAACTCTATGGTTTATAGACATTTTTACCATCGAGATTTGCCCAAAAAGTAAAGCATTGCCCCGATCTTGCTACCGTCACTTCCGGAAGTGATGTCATCGCACTGACGTCGTCCCTGCCCACCCTCAGAATGCCCTCCAAATCCCCCCACGGGTAGCAGGTAAAAGGACCTGGCAACCCTAGTATCTCTTAATTTGATTTTCCCATGGAATGTATATTTTTACTTAATACATTTTACCCCACCCTTTCTCCGAGGCGCTTAGGACAGTTTGCATCGCTCTCCCTTCCTCCATTCGGTCCTCCAAACAACCCTAGGAAGCAGGGCAGGCTGCGATTAGCTTGCGGAAGAGTGGACTTGCTCTAAAGCACAGATTGGATCCAGACCTGATTCCCCCGCGAGGGTTGCCGGGTCCCTCCTGGCAACTAACAGGGACAGGGGAGAATCACCAGGAGCAGGAGGGAGGCCTCGTCCTCGTCCCCAGCACTACGGGGATGTCACTTCATGTCTCCCATGTCGCACTGACTCTATGGTAAAAATAGGTTCTGCTGTAGAGTTTTTGCCCACCTACCAGAATGTTGTGGCGGTGCCGGTGATGCTGCGACATCACTTCCAGCTCATGCAGGAAGTGACATTGCTGTGTCACTAGTAACAGTGGCCTAGGCCTGCCTCTAGGGCTGCCAAGTGGGGGCGGGGGGCGGGTAAACCCCCGCTTTGGAGGCCTGATTTCCGCCGCCGCGGAATCGGGCCCCGGGGGGAACCCCACTCCCGGCGTGCACGTCACTAGGAAGTGACGTTATGACGCTGGGCACGCTGGGGGCGGGGCCACGACCATCCAAGGGGAAACTATGGTTTCCCCTTGGATGGTTGTGGCCCCGCCCCCAGCGTGCCCGGCGTCATAACGTCACTTCCTAGTGACGTGCATGCGGCGCACGTGCGCACCGGGTTCCACCCGGGAGTCCCCCGCTCCGGAGGTGAGTACTACTTGGCAACCCTACCTGCCTCCTCCACTGGTCAGCTGATTGGTGGTGGGGGCGGGGCCTGGGGGGGCTAGCAACCCTATTCCCCCCGTTCTGTTGTAGAACCCCCTTGTGTCGTTCTTCAGTGTCCCCTGTCTGCTGGGAACATTTTTTGGAGATGCAGGCTGAAGTGGGATGGGGTAGGACGGCAGTCCCAGGTGGGGACCTGCATGTCTCGCTTGAGACAGCAACATACTTTGAACCCGCCTAGCTCCATAACAAAACAGAACCCGCCAACCTTTGTATACCTGCAAGAATTTCTGGCACAAAGTCTTGCCCTGGGACTGTAGGGGGGGCAACTCCGGCTTGGGAAACTCCTGGAGATCGGTGGGCGGTGCCTCGGGAGGGCTGGTCTTCTAGCTCTTGGGATTATTCCCTGCTCCCCCAGGCCAGGAAACTGCATTGTTCAAGAGCTCGGGGAGGCACTTCCCATTCTGCGGGAACGGAACGGTGGGCCTGGCGCTCTCATTCTCTGGCTGGCCTGCCAGCACCACCCAAATCTATTCTCGGCCAAGCAGCCTGCAGGATGCCGGAGGCGGTGGTGGCGATGGGCGGGGGGGGAGGGGAACAGAGGATCGAGAGGGAGGGGGCCCGCAAAACCAGCGGGAGGGCAGGCCCCGTGGGCCCCACGCAGGCTACAGGCCTGCCTCCACTGTTTATGCCTCTGAGCCAGGGGTCTCCAACATGGTGCCAATGGGCACCATGGCACCCGTTGATACCTTTCCGGGTGCCCCTCAAGTGTTTTTGGAAAGGGGTGGAGCCAAATGGGGCTTTTGTTCAGCAGAGGTTGCCAACCTCCAGGTGGTGGCTGGCGATCTCCTGGGATTCTAGTGTTCCCTCTAAGCTGAGTTACTGTGAGCTAGCTCACAGTTTTTTAGCCTCCGGCTCACACATTTTTGTTTTAGCTCAGGAAGGATGGCTCCAGAACAAACTAATTTATGCAGGAGCTCACAACTTTAATACCAGTAGCTCACAGAGTAGAATTTTGGAGCATTGATTACAACTGATCTCCAGGCGACAGAGGATCAGTTCTCTTGGAGTAAATGGCTCCTTTGGCAGGTGGACTCTCTGGCACTATGCCCCATTGAAGTCCCTCCCCTCCACAAGCCCCGCCCTCCTCAGGCTCCACCTCCACAGTCTTCAGATGTTTTCCAATCTGGACCTGGCAACCCTATCGACAGGTAAGCCACAGCTCCACATATCCAAATCGTAAAGGCGATCATCGCCCTAACCCTCCCAACAAGCATTAAAACACCAACCTTAAAATGCCAACAGACATAACCGACCAGCTGCCAGGGAAAATCACATCTGACGACTCCAAAGGATTTTTGTGTAAGAAACCATCTAAGAACCTTCTTAAAACTGCCCCAAAGTTGTGCCAACTGGGCCTCCCTGTGCAAGGGGGTGTCGTAACTCAGGGGCCACGACAGGAGAGGCCCTGTTTTTCTTTAGAACCCTGCTCTGCATCGGCTCATCATCCCGAAAGCTCCACCCCCGAACCCCCTCTTTTACCGTAGGATAGTGTTTCGTTTGAGCAGGGGCACCGCCGGGTGTCGGAAGGAGAGGGCGTCGTCATACAGAGGAAGACGGTTCTGTACAGAAACAGAAGACGGAGAAGAAGGGAAGTGAGACCAACACAGCTGTTCAGACTTCCGGCAGCAGGAAGCATGTGCCTTACGCAGTGGCATGCATTAACCCTGAATGTCCTAGAGAGAGAGAGGGGAGAGAGGCAGCAAGCCTAAGGAGGTTTACTCAGAAGTAAGTCCCGCAAGATTACCCCTACGATGGCAGGCTGAGGGCTCTAGATCATAACTCCTGATAAGCGCCCGTTTGTTCATTATCTGTGTTATACAGAGGTCATTTCGGGGGGGATCGCGGGGGATCGCGGGGGATCGCAGTTCCCCCGGGTGAGGTACGGGGGCGGGGCACATGACGAAGCCCCGCCCCCTGCTTCCGGCCGCCCCGCTTCCGGCCCTCATTCAGCCAGGAGGAGGCAGGAGAAGAGGGAGGGTAAGTTGCTTCCTCCCTGCCTCTCCCCACCCCTGCCTGCCTGGGGCCAGGGAGGGCCTTCGCGGGGCTTCCTTGCACTCCCACCGGCCTTGCAGGTCCAC